CAGGCGCTGGTCCTGCAGCCCACCAAGCAGGCTCAGATAATAAAGACCAATCAGCACATGACTTCCATGCAGGCCGTGGGGGGTCGCTCTGCTGGAGGCAAATCTCAATACGCACCCTCCAGCCCATTGCCCAGCCGACACATGTCCAGCAAACTGAAGCCGGGTCCAGGTATTGACATAAGCCCCCTGCCTGCTCCGGCTGATGAGCCAGTGTACGAGAACCGCATGTTGCTGGTGGCCGCTTCCTCCTTAATGGGTCAGAGTTGTGACGGCGACAACCTGCTTTCTTCCCAAGCTTCGTACTTATCCTGCAGCTCCTCCAAAGCTCTGGGGCCAGAGAGGCTGTCTGCCCACTCTGCTTCTTCTCTGGAGGGCTTGGCCTGCTCTGGCCCGGGACACTTGGGGAACCACGATGCTGCTGCGGCAGGGCCTCAAGGAGGAAGCATCAGCAGCATGCGTGTGTCCAGCTCCACCAGCAGCCTCGCGTCCAGCAGCAGCTTGTCGGACAGCGGGAAACTGGGACCCGACGTCCGCAGCAAAATCTCAGAGAAAAAGCACAGTCAGCAGGGCAGCGCTGCAGGGGAGTATAAACCCAGACCGTTCATGGGCATAACTGACAAAACAGCTCGATTTCAGCAGCAACAGCAGCCGTGTCATCCAAGCCTTCAGTCCGTCAGTCGCAGCTGGTTTAACCACTCCTCTGACGGCTTGATGTGCCACAACGTGTCAACGATGGGTCTGCAGCCGGTTGACTGTGAGCCGTCTTACAGCAAACCGGTGAGCACTTACCAGGAGCAGCACAAAGCGCCACTGCCGCAGGGTGGCACCGTGATGAGTAGCTTACACAATGGCATGCACGCCAAGGAATTGGAGAAGTTCTGCCAAGTGGCCAACTGCTACAAAGAGTCCAAGCCAGCGCTGGCCATGCCGCATACTTTCATAGATGGTAACTCCAAGCAGCCTAGCCTGAGCCGAGATAATCCCTCCATTCATGTAGCTTCAATGAAACCAAAGCGATCCTTTATAGAGTCGAATGTGTAGAAATGGTCGATCTCTCTACACCGTCCACAATGCACACAAGCAAAAATCCAAAATGAGGGACAGATTTTTTTTGTTTGTTTTTTTTAAATCAGCGGCAGATTCCAGTTTTCTGAGATTTTAAGGAGTGCAGTTTGCTGACTGCTTGTTCATACAAACGAGCAGCTTATTTCCCTGAGTCTGCAGCTTCTGTTACTCGACAGCATGTCCGGCGTCATTCAGCCAACCTGGAAACATTGCACTGAAGATCTGCGGCCATGACGTACAATCCTGATCAACGCAGCGAGACATGGAGCACGTTACACACTCTTAGGCCAAGCAAGTGCTCCGACGGCTCAAACAGATACAATATGTTATTACTGAACACTTTTTGAATAAAAACTAGGCTTAAATGTGTTCATCACATCTACGGTGCTGAGGGGCTAGTTTTAAAAAGTTTCTGACCTATTCACTTTTTACACACTTGCACATTTAAAAAAAAAAAAAATTAATAAAAAGAGAAAAACTTAATAAAAAGAGAAAAACTGTTTCTAGACTTCCTGTCAGATCTTTCTTGTTCACTTTAAGTATTATTTGGTTCTAGCTTTTAACACTTTAAACATGTCATAATAAAGGAAGACATTAACATTTGGTAGCTTACAGCTCATCCTGATGGAGGAATAATAATCTTGTGATTATGCAACACAGCAAACATTTTCTCTTCAAATTTGAGGTCGACTGGGCTGTTTCATGTCATTTATGTCTCATGCAGGAATGTTGCCGGTTGATCTCAGAACACAGATTTCCACCTTTCACATTAGCAGGAATCAATTAATGAAAGTACGGTAGTAGTTTTATTATGCTCATAATTCAAAAGCAAAGTAAAGTCACTCCAAGCTTTGTGTAAATGTGTAATCAGTGAACTCAATTTTTGGAGGAGAGAAGAAAGGACCAGCTCATAACGTACAGCGTAATTTCTGGCAGCAAAACTACAACCGATGATTTTGTCGCTACATTCATCTCTATGGGATGACAATCTTAGGGTTCCCAGAGCAATTTCAGGCAAATGAGTGGGATTTAAAAGAAAAACCTCAAAAACATTTCAATTAAGTTTTCATTTTGACCCACCAAATTCCTTAAAGCTAACAAAAACAAACATTTATTTTAGTTAGGTGATTTTTGGTGATTGAAATCATTTTTAAAGGTTTTAAAGTTCCATTTGCTTGAATGTTGAGATTGTAACCGTTTCAGAATCTCTTGATGTTTTAATAGCACAAACAAAAAATGCAGCACAATCGGCATCACTTTGGTTTTGTTTGGTTATTATGAAGGTGACATGGTTGAGTGAATCATTCCGTCTAAATAATCATTTATTGATTTGTTGCAATGTTTTATATTGTTTAACCAAGTGTTTAAGAATGTCCGAAGAGTTTGAAGGTAATGTGTTTATAAAACCACCCTTGAAGAGAAAAAATAAGTTGTTATAATTCTGATCAGTTCCTATTCAGCTCTACTCTAACACAGATGCAGTGACTTATGCTTGTTTCCTCACTGAATAGTTTGGAGTGACTTTACATAAGTTAGAGAGTGAAAACACTTTGGCAAATTGGATTAGTTGTGGTTCTACTGCCAAACAGAGGTGAGCTACCAAACAGTATGGTGAAATTGAGGATTTGAGGTAAGCCTATTTTGGGAGATAAGAACAAAATAGAAAACCATTTTAGTCTGAATGTTAAAATAATTTGAGAATTTGACCAATTACTATAATTTCTGAATGTCTGTTAATTTGAATAGAGCCCAGTTGGTGGTTAAACCCCCATGCCCCCCCAAAAAAACTAGTAGGAGTTTAAAATCAGCAATATTAACACCACACTGTGTGTTAAAAGTGATGCGGTCTGAGTGCTTTGAGAAACGTCAGAAAGAACTAAGGGATGGGCATTCCTGTGACTTATGAAGGATGTTATAGATCCTCATGTGTATATTATATAAATATGTACTGTTTCTTCTTTTCAGTGAAGGTCTATGTTGAGTGTATTGACAAGTTCAGACTTGTGTATTTTGAGTTTTAGGCACAATGTTGTTGAAATGGTGTTGAATATAAATTTGTACATTGCATAAGCCATCATTAACACTGAATCATTTCTGTATCTGCTTGTTGTTGCCGTCTAGTTAATTTATTCTCAGTACCAATGGCTTGGTTAATTGTAAAAGCAATATATTTTATATAGTTATTTTTGCACAGCTACAAAGGCATTTGACTCTCAGTAATGAGAATTCAACGCATGCTACCGTTGCAGTTTATATAACAGAAAAACAGGAATATCTTTAAAAAAATGAGGTGGTTTGGGGGCTCGGTGCCATTAGCTTTATTTTACGATGTACGTTAAATGCAGTTGTTACCATGTTTTCAGTATTGTGAGCTTTCTTAGCCGTGATCACATACTGTAATGAACATTACTGCCACCGTGTGAGAGCGAAATAAAGACCCACTGAGAGGAAAAAAAACAAAAACAAACAAAAAAAAAACACATTTGTCTCCTGGGTTTTTGTCTTGAATACATACAGATTATTACTGCAGTGTTAAAATGTCTAAACATACAACTATTAAGTCTGTTGCAGGTACTTATATTATAAAAAAGGACAACCTCACAATGCAGAGCATCATCTTTGGCAACACAAGGTAACTTGCAGGTTGACTACAAGCCATCTTGTGAGTTGTAGTTTTCATACGAACAATAAATTGTGCATAAGAAACAAATTCTGGTTTCACCTGCATGTAAAATTCAATTGAAACCAGAATTTTACATGCACTGTTGAGACATTTTTTTTCTCTCTGAAATGAAACTTATGAATTCAAAGTTACAACTTCTCTTAAGAAAAAATGTTCATACGTTTTCTGGCTATTCAAACCTAAGAACAAAAGAAAGTTGATCTGATTTAACTTCAGATAGTGAGAAACAAAAGTGCATGCATATTTAAACTTCTATTTCACTGCTGCCAGTGTAAATGTATTTCCATAATTCAGCACAAAATTATTATATCCTCAATTATATAACTTCCATACAAAATAAAACTGTTTATTGCTGTTAGTTGATTAAAAATTGGTTGAGAAAAAACCACATCCAGTTTCTCAAAAATTTTGAATATTACAAGAATTTTGAATGCACAAATGTCCTTTTGTGGCCAACGAATTGCGGAAATTATTTCTGATGTGATGTTTGTCTAGCAGACATTCATATAAAAGGCTAACAAAGATGGCTTTTTGCAGAGTGCTGTATCTAAACATGTGGATGGAAAGTTAAGTGCAAAAAAAAAGACATGCAAGAGAAGAACATTAAGCAGAAAAGCTCCTTTGAAGCAAGGAGCAATAGAAGAAGTGCAGAGACGGAGCGCAAGTGTCAATTTGTTGCAAAAAGCCACTGCTAAACCTGGAACTACTTTTTAGAGTGAGAAAAAGAGACAGCACTGCTGCTCAGTGGTCCAAAGTACTATTTTCACATGTCAGAAATTATGGTCACTGTTAAAACAACTTGTTTTTCTTGACACTCTAGCATCTAGACAAGCTGATTGTCTTCATGCCGTTCAACATTGATGCAGTAATTCATGCAACAGAAACTCCAACCAAGTAATGAACCCATTAAAAAAATATTTTGTTATTGGTGTTCTGAAGTATTCTGATTTTCTTCATTTTGTAGTTTTTATTTGCTATAAGCCATTGTAGACAAAATTAACACATTCACTCTTGGAATTAAATTCCAGAAATAAACTATTTTCTCATTTTGATCAAAGTTATAATAAACATTCAATGTGCTGAATTCAATAAATTATCATTAAAATCATATTCTTCATTGTGACATTGAAAGCTCTACAATAAAACACAAACACAAGCTGACTGTTTAATATATTTGAAATAAATTAGGTAATTTTCTATATCAGTTTCTGAAGTGAAACTCAGCAAATTGACTCAGTGATGAGAACACATATTACCTTTCTGGCAATTACAAAAGTTTAAGTACCTGTGGCATTTTAGAAAATTTAAAATGAGCTGCTGGTTTAGTCACTGGACTTCCAGCGGGTTATTGCCATCTTCAGGGATCTGTTGGGGGTCAGCAGAGTCGTCTGCAGGGGCAGGTTGGTCATTGGGCTCGTTTTGTTCTTGCCTCGGATCCAGCTCTCGATAGATTCTCGTTCGTAGGAGTACCCATCTGAGGAACACACACCCAGTTTATGTTTGAGAACTACAGCAGAGCTGAGTTACAGTGCCTGATGAAGCACATAATAGGGGACAACGGTTTTCTGCTTTTAATGTGAACAAACCTGCAGCTATGACTGGATCCTTCATCAGCTCTCTGGTGATTGGACACAGAAACTCATCCGGAGCTTCTGAGCCGCTCTGCTCTGCCTTCAGGGCCTCAATTTTCCTCAGGAGACGTCCACGAAGACCTACAGACTCTGCAAAACCACAGCCAGATAGTTTCAGTCAGTGTGAATTTGAAAATGAACATTTTTGAATTTTTATTTTTTAACATGAGCTCAGTTTAATCTCTTATTACTTTCTGTTGAGCTAAGTAACTAAAATCACAGCAGACTGAAAAAAACTGACTTAACAAAAATCAGAAATAAATTTGTGCTGTGTCACAGAAGACGCCGCACAAAGAGCCAGACATTTTGCTCCTCAGCTCCAGCAACTCAACATCTCCTCTTATTCTACCCGAGAGTAAATATCCAGCAGGTCCAAAGGAGGAAAGATTTCTCTGCACGCAGCTGCATGTCTCCGCCTACTGACAGCAGCTTCTGAATTTGTCATTTGCAGCAAATTTCTCGAACAGCTAAAAGGGAGGGCCGACCTTTATGGCTGCACATGATTAGTTGCGTGTCTGTGGGTAATGGCTGTGCCACAGAGAAGCATGTCTCATTCAGGCAGTAACAGCAGCTGCAGTGACATTTTCTAGCATGACTTTTAAAGTCTTGACAATTCTATTACAATAAGGGCACTGAATGATTCAACATATTTTAACCCATTTTCCCTGCATGATACTAATGCATGTCTCTAGTTTAATTTTAAAGGCTAGGCAAAGCGACAACAATCTTATTTTACAAAGGCATATCCTGTGGTCTGATGAAAATTAAATTGAAGTGATCTTCCAAACTGATCAAAATAACATGTGAAGAAAAATGGAGGAAACCTGAGAACAACCATCTCCACCCAAAAATACAGGGGTGGAGTTTTGATGCACAAAGGATCGCTGCACTTTACAAGATAGTTGTCAATTTGAGGAACGAACATAATTTGGAAATATTAAAGCAACATTTCAAGACATCAGCTAGGAAGTTAAAGCTAGAGAACATATGGGTCTTCCAAATAGAGAATGATCTGAAGCACACTGACAAATTTGTTAAGTTTTGGAATGACAATCACAAAAACCCTGTTCACAGTCTCAGTCTCATAGAAACGTTGTGGGTTGAACTGAAAGATTGCGTAAAAAAGGCGATCCACACGCCTGATCCACTTCCACCAGTTCTGTCTGAAGCACTGGCCTAAAATTCCAGCCAATTATCATGAGACGTTTCTGAAAGGAAACTCAAAATGTTTGGCCCGACTCATTGGTATAATCTTCATTAAACAAATACTAAAACTTCTAAAATACAAATGACACCAAACACTGCTGTTGATTGTTTTAGAGGTTTTTGAAAACGCAAGTCTCTTAAGCAGGTCATCCTGTTACTTGTAGATGAAGAGATGTGAAAGATGCCACTTCCTTCCCATGTGCCATTTGATCCCCTCCATCTGAACCACATCTATTATTTTTAGTGCAAATAAACTGCCATCGTGTCTGCCACTTGTTACTCTGTATAATTTGTAGCCCCTGATCCACATGTCTGAAAATGTCAAAAACCTATTTCTGCTTTCATTTTCCATTAATTTATGCTATGGACCATAAAAAACTCAATTAAGACTGACATGAAGATGTTTAGATTGCTTGGTGGATAGATACTAAGGTATTTATTTTATTTTTTGTTCTTCTCCTAACCTTGTAAAATTTTAAGCACATTGATTTCAGATACTCAGACTTCTATGCTCCATTTCTTTGAGGTAAAAAGTTAACTTTGTGAAACATGGAGACAGAAAAAACTACAAACACCCAACTGGGGACACAAGTGCATGTTTCGATTCATCACATTGCTGCAGGAGCTGCATCATCCATCCTCTTTATCACAGCTTATGATCTGCTCCTGTTTAGCAAATAAAAATATTTTCTCTCAATTTGTGAATATGCCAATGGCAACAGCAAAAGCTATGGCCTGAACTTAACTTCTGAAACTCTGCAACCTTTTCAGATATGCAGACTATAATGTATTTTCACCATCAGTGCTCAGGACTTGCTCATGCAATCTGTTAGGCATAGTTTGATGATCTCTGCAAAGAGGTTTGGAGCTGAATTGTACACAAAGATAAAGAAAACATTTGTTCATGTCTTACTTGCAGAAGCATTCACACCTGTGCATCATTTCATACTTTAGGTCATTTTAACTAACAAACTGTTTTATGTTATTTAATCTCAGTATAAATCCAGCCATTTTGCGAAAGCCTCATCGGTCTGTTGGAGAACAAAGAGAGGATCATAAAGAGCAGCTGTGCACCATATTCTGTAAACATTCTTTTCCAAGGTCTCAGATTTGAATTTATCTTCTGAGTACAGAAAAATTTACTAGTTCCCATTTCTTGAAAACTGTCTATAAAGAAAGCATTTGAAATACCTTTTTTTTGGGGCACATTTTGTTCTGTTGGAAAAAATTATGTTATTTGAACAGATACTATTCAATCTCACCTGATGCTCCTGACTGTGTATTGCCCTCCAACATGCTGTAGTGAAAGCAATGATGTACCAAGGCTAAACTCGTAGGCATTTTACCTCGGCTCGAGGAGAAATTACTCAGCCTCCAGCCTGAAAACATCATTCCCATCAACTTCTATAAGACAGAAACTAATCCTGCACTGAATAGCACCTTTACTCTTCATAAAGCAGGGAATCAATACGGATGAGGAAAAAAGACTGAAGTACTATAAAAAAATAAAAATCAAATAAAAATCATGCATCTGTGTTGCTATGAACCAGTTGACCCATCACGTGCTGATCCAGCTTATGATTATAAGGAAGCTCAGATGCTAATGTGTCGAGAAAAAAAAAAAAAAAAAACAAGCAACAGAAGACAGCAGTACAGTCAGCCTGGATCATGCTGGAAAAATGACAGCATTCAATCAGGTTGAACTCCTCGAACCCCTCCAGTTATTACTGAGCTAATAAACAATGTTAGAAAAGTTGCACTTCAAAGTAATAGTTCGTTTAGGATTTCTATACACTCCAGCATCTTTCATCACAAGTACTATACCGTCCACTTTACATTTAGATTAATAATATGATGGAGTGGGGGTGGGAAATGAATATTTCATCAAGTTGACTGAAATCTCACTTGCTGAGTGTGTCTGCACAAGAAAGAGAGAGGGTGAGTGTATGCCTATGCAAATGCACACACTATTTGCATGCATAGAAAATTGTGTGTTGTACTGTGGGGATGTAGGTCGCACAGCATGACAAAAAATGTGCCAATCTGTCCATTTCTTCTGCGGTAATGATGAGAGGTGTCCTCCATACTAAACATGTAGTGATGGTATGGGGCATGCTTTGAATCACTGAACAGCACGCGAATCTGGTTTGCTGTTTGCTGCTTTACAATTAAAGCAAACAAACTGGGTTTCAGTCTGAGTCCAGTCAGGATTGCAATGCAGTGAATTTTGTCATTAGAATCAGATGTTTTTTTGTGTTTAGACTGGAGACAGAAGTTCTATGTCTCAACACTGATGTGTGATATAAAGTTTAAGATTTGAAAGTTGAAATGAGAGTTTGGTTCTCCTTTTACCTTTAACACCAACCCCATAAAATTAGATGAGGTGACTAATCCTCAATGCTTCATCTTAAGAAATACCTCACAGGGTTTTAGATGCATGAAGCAGAAATGCAAATTGTTTGAGATAAATTTTCAAGCTACAGAATTTATTGGCCATTTTGCAGAGGTAGGTGCATAGCTAACCTTAAATGAACCAATTAGGAAACGTAGCATTTTGTTCTTGATCATTTGACTTTAATTTAATAACAGCACAATGGGAGCAGGAGAAATGTTTTTGATCTGGAGAGAGTTTGCTCTCCACTAACTTCCTGTCTACTGTTTTGAAGGACATGCAGAACAGATTGATAGCAGGCAGTGTCGCTGGATCAACACCACTAAATAAGTTTTGAATGCAACATCAAGTTTCTGAGCTGTTGCAAACTCTGACAATAAGAAACAATATGACAAAATTGCATTATCCAAACTCTATGCAAGAATAAGTTTCTAAATCTCGACAATGACACAAGACTCTTGTCTAGCTGTGCAGACGCTGTGTCTGTGCTATTGTAATAAATTGGGTAATGTATAAAACGCTGTAATTGCCTCAGCTGATGTTGACAGCAGAATGGAAACATGGCTTAATAATGTCGACTTGGACATTTTAGCTCAACTCGCATCAAGCTCTGCCGAAGAAAGCTTCCAATTCTGGGAATTTTGTCTCTACAGATTGAATAATTTTTGGAGAACAATGTCTAAAGTGGCATGACAGCCAATAGAGATAATAACTGTTATGAGAAACTGTAAGGTGCTTGCTAATCCTATCAACTATTCTCTGTCCTCACCTATTCCCAGCTCAGCCACAGTCTCCTTGCTCATGTGGTTCACCTCTGACCCGTCAATATTGTTGGCTTTAAAAATCATGACAAGCTCCTCCAGTCCTTCTTCACGCAGCCAGCTTTGCACATCCTCCTCTGTCCAATCAGAAAGCAGCAACCTGGAGTGACCTGGCAGATTCCTTCCTGCAAAAAAAAAAAAAACAAACAAAAAAAACACATCAGGCTAGGAGGAAGTGCTGAGCTATTACAGCCCAATCTCCTGCAAACAAACAGTTTCCTCCCAATCTCAACAGAAAGGACACACTCCCTATGATCCGATATAGGAGCGATAATTACTTTCATCTGCACCCACCCATAAAGATCCACAAACACAGTTGTAAAATAGTTTTAAATCAAGTCCTTCTACTGTAATTTTAACATTTTATCTCATGTAAGTTTTTTTATTGAGTGAAGGCACAGAAACCCAAGAGATCTGTAATCTTCAAACTTTTGTTGTATGAGGCATATATAGAACAGTGTAGTAAAGGACAGCTAGAATACTTAGAGTAGTTTCATTTTTTTGTTAAGAAGCTCTTACAGTGATGCAGTTTATGCAAAAGTACAGATTTGTGTGGAGAAATGCTAACTTTGTAGGTTTGTGAAGCCATGAGGAAAACAACAGGCCTTTTTTGGTGTAGTCCTGGTTGATGCAGTGCATCATCTGGAGTCTCCCAGTCTAGGAGGCTGACTCATTGGAACACTAAGCCAAAATCAGGGAAGATTCATTGGAGTCAGAGCAGTTCCAGGCTGCATCCTTTAGAGCTTAGTCTTTTTGTTCCACTTTCAAAAGAAAACAAATAAAAAAAATCTATGAATGTACCTACTTAAACCTATAATATTAAAACAAATAGGACATCTCATTAAATATATATGTATTACTTTATAATAAAATGTTTTTTTTATGAAAAATGGACTGCATTTTGTCTGGTCATTCACCCAAGCATACAGCCTTGGTAAGGACAGCACTATTGAAAGAGAAGGAACCAAGAGCCCTATTACATACGTTGCAGTAATAGGGCTTTCATGGAAGAGTAGCAAGATGAGAGTTATCTGAAATAGAAAGGCCTTCTTCAGAGTTTGCAAACTGTATCGACGCTCTGATTAGGCAAAACCAAAACACATTTGTCTGGCCTGCGCAGTGCGTGTGGTGAAACCCAACAACTCTGAATATCAGCAGCAGAATGTTGCAGGATAATTTTCTTCAGATCATACAAGAAAACTGATCAGAGTTGATGATGAGCAGAGAGCTCACAACCAGAACAAGTTAAAGTTACAGATCTAAATCTAATGGAGAATCTGTGGAAAGGCTTAAGAAATCTGAACATTTTAGAGACTGTCTCTCCGAATAGATGTGAAAATCTTGTCAATACACCTTATGAGATATGCCACACTTTTCAGATGGTTGATGATAGTTATGTTTTTTCACTGTGGGAGGAAACCAGAATCCCTGTACAGAAACTATGCATGCACGGAGAGAACATGCAGAGACCCTAAGCCAGGATTCAAACCCAGAACCTTCTTGCTGCAAGTCAACAACGCCACTGTGCAGCTCAGGATAAGAGATTATACAGCGCTGGTGATTTATGAAGCAAGCACCTGTTCAGCATTTCAAACGTGTTGCACATTGTTTGCTGTGTTTACCTCAGAAATCTTGGCTGTGGCTGAAATAAATAAATAAGTCGGACTATATGAGCTGTAGCAAGATCTGAACAACAAATGGAATTTGTGTTCAAAAAGAATACTAGCCACAGATTTATTTTCTACTCAGACACACCAAAAGAAGATATTTTTCAGGGGGTCAACAAATGACGTTTTAATGCTTGTGCGAGACACCGCTGCGTGAGCGATTTATACAAAATGTAAAAAAGCATTCAAATAAATCCAGATATCGCCTCAGACTCAGACAGAAAACCAGAGTGACGGTTATTTACCTTGACATGGCACCTGCTGTGATTCAGCCGCTGCAGAAAAACATGAAAGGAAATAAGTTTATTGTGTGAAAAGACAGAGAGAAACAAGATTGAAGCGAAAAGCTGCAGCTGTCCAAAAAGACAAGTTTTAAAGGAGAGAATTAAAAGACAGGTTTTAGAGCAGAGGAAATTTGTTTTAGCAGATGGAGGAGATGTTCAGATGTCTATCGAATTCATATTTTCTTTCACTATAAGCAGAAACTTCTTGTTCCGGCTTATAGTCACATTCCTCCCTCCATGAGGATCAGTGATAGTCTATCCAGCTGCAACATCATAATATAAACATCATTATTCCTCTTATAGGCAAACAGGAACTATGGAGTTTACCTATGCAGTGATTTCTGTGGGGGGGGTTTTCCATCAAATTTTAAAATATAGGTTTATTCAAGACATTAAAAAGTGCTAAACTCAGCTGCAACAGTATTTACCAATTTCTTCATATCCATCTGCTCCAATCTTCCACACTTTTACTGATCTGTCCATTGAGCCGGTTGCCATCAGGCCAAAGGCAGGAGACAGAGCGACCGCTGTCACATATCTATAGGAAGGCGAGATAACAGGAAAGTGAAGGGTGTTTGTGACAACCGGAAAGTGGCACAGGAAGAGATCAGCCTCAAAAATCTGTTTCCTTCAGCCATACAAAAAAAGATCCCTAAATCCTTTCAAACACTTCAAAGCACTCTGATGGTTCTTACCTGCAGTGCCACATCAATGACTGTGCAGAAAGCAGAAATATTCTGTTGCATCACTGCACCCAGCGCTTCTGGGAGAAACTAATCAAGCAAAAATCGCACATTTTGATCTGAAACGCCAGGGCTCCGTATTTTGCTGCTTGGCTGAGACCTGCAGAGATTGCATCGCAGCAGGAGGCTGGGTAATTTACCTGTCATGTTGCTTCAAAATGTGGAGCAGGGTTCCCAGGTTCTGTGAACAAAGTGCAAACTGTTCAACTGGAATGTTTTGAGTTCTTATTTACATGGACGAGACATGTTTGATTCAGAAGTCATGTTTGTATCACTGTGACAAGGAATATAAAAAAAAGACACTTTGTGAATATTACTTACGGCATCGTATATCGTTACACTTTTATCCACCGATCTGTAATAATTACAGTAAATAAGGTCACCTTGTGTTCAGAATCCATATGTATGCATTTACACCACAGATTAATCATGTAGTCATGTATGAGTTTATAAAAACTGAGGAAGACAAGAATAAGAAACAGATTAATCTTCAGTGTTTTTGACTTTGAGCCAAGAGCAACAGAAGGAGCCAACAGCAGCTTTATAATAAAGTACATTCCTCCTGTGGCTGACTGAGAGAACAGGAAGGTCTACACTCAGCAGTAGCATCTGTTGGTTACTCACAAAAAAAACAAACAAAACAAAAACATAAAAATCCTTCACAGAAGCAAAGGTGGTCAACAATGTATTCAGAAGCTAATAAATAGTAATGCAATTATGTATGAGTAATAAATTGCCTTGATGAACAGCAATGCTATCAGAAACTGACACATCCTGCAGCTCTGGTGTTAGCTTGTAAATTAAAGACTTATGTAAAAACTTTTTTTCAAGAAATACCATCAATTTAGTCTAAGCCAGTGTCATTAGTTACCTTTTAAAAAAACAGTTTTTGTTCTTTATTACTTTACTTTCAAGTTATTTAAATGATCATTGAGGGCTTTTTGGTCATCAATAGAGGGGAACCAACAATTTCGTCCATGTCTCTTATAGTTAGAATGTTAGCACGACAGGCTTTACGTTGGTATAATGAGGTTCTCACCCAGAGACCACCAGCTCTCCATCAGCAGAGAAAGCACAGGATAGAACTGGAGCCGTTTGACCAGTGAGAATGTGAAGAAGAATCATGGTCCACACTGCAGGTCAACATGAACACACACACAGAGAAAAAAAAAGGCTGAGAGGGAATTAGAATTGCCTTACATCCTAAACTGTTGACCTGACACTTTTTTTCCACCTGTACATAAATAAAAAAGTTCTCTGCTACCTCTCCTCTGTGCTGCAGCTCTGCCACCTGCTGCCAGCTGTCCAGAGATTTAAAAAAATTACTATTTGGGGAATAAATTGAACACATTTCAACTCAAATTTTAAAATGGCTTATAACTAATGGAAAAACAATCTTCAGGGGATTTTTGGCATCCCTGAATTAATCTGTTTTCCTGCAGAAAACAGATTACTATATATATATATATATATATATATATATATATATATATATATATATATATATATATATATATATATATATATAAAAAACCATGGACTTGGGTTGCCATGCAAGGTCAACCAATCCTACAGAGAATGACCGTTACCACAGCAACGCGTCAAAGGAACTAGCCCAAGCACATAACAAAAATGCACCTTGTAACCTGGTTATATAACCCGTGAAGGACGTGTGACATCTGCTTCCTCTGCTGGAGCTTGAACAACAAAATGTGTCTGTTTGCACCTGGTGACCTTCCAGGTCATTTACATATGGACACACACGGATAACAGAGAATCCCCCAGCCCTGCTGTGTTTCAGGAGGAAGTAGTAATACATTATTAATGAGTCCATCTCTGATTTAAACCCCATAAAATGATTGTATATCTCTCTCAGCAGAGAGAGATATCATGGTTGTCCCAGTCAGCAGGGTGTTCTTCTCTCTCTCTCTCTCTCTCTCTCTCTCTGTGTGTCTTGGACAATAGATTCAAGGAGTGTTTGGCTGAGGAAGCATGCAGGGCTCAAGGGGTCAGCCTACCTGCTCCCTCACGCTGAGAAACAATCCATACTTTCAGAAGACTGTCCTGTCCACAGGAGGCCAGTCGAAGCTCCACGCAGGAGTCTTCTGCAGAGTAAGAGGGGAAAAAAAACTCAGCATTCATGCTTGATCAAACCAGCAACAGAATAAGACAAATATGTTATGACAGCATGTTAGTATAGAAACCACTAGCCAGCAGTATCTTTTAAAAAAGTTGTGTTTTGAAAAGAGACATTTGATTAGTGAACTAAAAACAACGTTGAATTTTTAAAAGAAACTGAGAACACTCCCTATCAATTTGTCAGAGGAGTCGGTAAATAAGTGGAACATGACTTGAGCTGTAAAACACATGAGGTTCATTTGTGATGTAAAAGTGTAGACACCTTTAAAAGGTGTGTTTTGTTGAAGGATATTTTTTATTCAGTTTGGCAGTACTCTTTTGTAAGACTATTAAACCCCACATATTGACTCAACAAAATATGCCCAGTCTACCTCAGCCAAGTTCCTCAAACTCTTTAGATTATGAATACATCTCTCACTCACAACATTCAGGTGACCCCACACTTTTACATTAATAACTTCAACATCAAAAAGATGGTTTTTCAACCCATGTTGTTAAAACTGTGGCTATAATTACTGCTGCAATGAATATCTAAGTAATTTTCATATCTCTGTCTTCCATAATGTACAGGCATATACACTTTTTGCAACATGTTTTTAAAACTATTTCGGGTTTACTTAACTCACCAATTTTGAAGTGAGGTGCGAAGCTGCAGCAGGTGACGCCCAAATCATGGGCGTCTTTCTGAGCAAGCAGAAGGCTGATGTGATCATCCCAGAGTTTGAGGTCTCCATGGGTACAGCCGGTCACAAAAACCTGAGAGCAGGGAGAGAAACTGCAGGCCACAATGCTGGCTTCACTTGCTGCAGCACATCTGTGGGAGAAAATTATTAGAGCAGTTTGTTTAAAAGATAAAGAAGACTTTTTGTGAAAATGTTTGACCTTTCACAGTTCTGTTGAGATGAAAGGTTAAATTCGAGAGCCTTCTGACAAGAAGGAAGCACTAATTTTTCTTGAAGTATATGCTGTTTGCATTCAAGTTGACCTGAATTGAATACATGTGTTTTTGTACTAAATTTTATTAGCTCAAAAAAAACGAGACCACTTTTCTGATGTGCATACTCCCATTGTCCTCTGTGTCCTAAAAATGATCAGATTAATGAGTGCATTGTTTTCCAACACACTTTTAGGATTATTTTCTGCTTTAAAGTTTGTCACTGATGGGAGGGGAGGGGAAACAAGCTGCTGAGGAAAAAGTTGTGACAGCTGTACGACGACTCCATCTGCTGCAGAAGGCTGAGAGATGTTGCCAAAAGCGACAAGTATGAGGGCTTTTTGATTCAGTTCGTCTGTCAAACTGTGGTTTTCAGAGCTGAGAGCTAACCTTGAGTCTCACTTTGAATCTGTTAAAGGTGTCAGTAAGATTTTTTTTTTTTTTATTACAACTCCAACACAGAACAGGCACTCTACCACCATCAGGGGTGATTCCAGAAGGTTTTCAGATGAGGGTCACTTACAGTGTTGGACTGAAAGCAATTAGTTTTTTCAGGAGTTTTTATCTGCTGGCATCCCATTTAGTCAGGAATATATTAAAATCTTAATTTTATGGTGTAAATTTAAACATGCTGATGTCTTTTTAATACTTGTATAATAACAAGCATGATCATTAGGCTGGGAAGGAGGATTGTTACCAGTTACAATAATATTCAACACAAAACAACATAATTTTACACAGATCATGTGTCGATTGGCAATATCCAAATAATGGAAATGATTTGTTTTGCTATTTCAGATCAACTTTTGACAAGTTTCAATTGTAGCATTAAAAATCATCCCAGAACTACATCTATGAAGAGTAGATGTGTAAAGCTCAACACATGTAATCTTGGTGTGATTTAAAAGTACTTTTTTTAAATTAATTTTACAATCAACCCACTCTCCAACTGTGTTCCTTAACAAAATGATTTCATTAGACTTTTTGTAAGACAAATAAAAATACTAAGATAAAATTAAATTCTATATTTCTCAGTCAAATGTTATTTCATTATATTTACATTATTGAGGTTCAGGCTCGTTTTTGGGTCTGCCGACTTCAATGAAACATTTGATTATTATCCATAATTAAACTAAATTAAATCTGGATGACCTCTTGCTGACCTTTGGAGTCATATATCTATATCTATATATATATATATATATATATATATATATATATATATATATATATATATATATATATATATATATATATATATATAAGGAACAAACAAACAAACAAAAGCAATCGGTAGTTTTTCTTTCTGTTGGTTTTGTTTTCTCTTACAAATCTAGCAAGTAGGGCAACAGTAGGGAGGTAAAGATATTGTTTATTTTTTAAGGAAAGTACAAAAAAAATGACAGCGCATTTCCAGCAGTGGACAAATCCATATCATTTAAGAGTACTTTCAGACAAGCACGGTATGGTGTCAGAAACGAGTAAGGTCCCAAGATACCTGCGTAGTGTCTTGGAAGGGAAGTCCCAGAGGGCCACGGTGCCATCACAGGCACCCGCCAGCAGGAGGCAGGAGTCCGGCGCCAACGCGCAGACTCGGAGCGGGCTGCGGCCCGGGTGCTCCACCGCCGAGAGTCGCTCTCCTGTCTCCGAACTCCAAACTATGATGGAGCCGTCCGTGGAGCAGCTTAGCAAGTAGCTGCCGCAGGAGCTGAAGCAGCAGCGGTGAACCCCGTAGCCGTGACCCGTCAGAGGAGAGAAGGGCAACTCCTTAAAGTCCGCCGTGCTGTACACCCGCAGAGTTTTATCCGCTGATCCGGTCACCAGAGCAGACGGAGAGAAGGCACAGCAGCTGATCTCGTCTGTATGATCTCGAATTGTGTGAATTAAAGAGACCATGTTGCCACCTGTTGATTCTGGCCGTGAATCAGTGTCAGGGTGACGCAAATGGTCCTAATGTACATGCAGGAAGAAGCTCTTCTACTTTCTGCCTGCTGTTTGAAAACTGACAAATGTCCAGAAAGTGAAATGAGGCCCTTGCTCGTTATGAAGTTTTTCTCTGCTTCCGCCTACAGCACACCAATAAAATTTATCTTGCTTGTTATCAGTCTTGTGACGCTTAGTTATTGCGTTACACAATGTTTATGGTTGAATATAAGCAGAAACCGGGAGTTATACCAAGATTTCCCCCTTTAATTTCCCAAGTTGCTGTTTAAACAGAGGAGTGAAAAATAGACAGCTTTAGTAGTTCGCAGTTTAAAACTACTTAAAGATACAGTACTATGGTGTGTTTCCACCAAATACAAAACACTAAACAAAAAAGCCCCACAACTAATCAGCTGCGTAATTTGAATTGACTAATGTATACATTTTCAGTGAATTTGCCATATATCCTTATAAATGATAATGAATTGGGTTATTCCAGTCTGTTCCGCTGCTCCTCCTAAGCTAATTTCATGCGTTTTGTTGTGGCCAATTTTTTTTGTGGGGGGGATCTATTCACTTTCACCTACCTGTCAGTGATAGGTTAAAGTGAATAGATGTAGTTCTGTGGGCCAGAGTCAAATAGTTCATGTACATTGCATATCACATTTTCAAAATATTGTATATATAGATATATTTGTGAAATCCAATACCCAATGACAAGAACTTGAATATAATCTTTAAAAAAAAAAACATATTCCCTTGATAAATTAGATTTCTGACAACACGGGGTTCAGGATGAAGTGTATTATATTAAAGAAAGCAGGATTCAACACAACCAGACATTCCACAAGTCATTTCTGTTACCTTTATTGACTCTACACATCAGTGTTTACAAAAGGTGTACGATCTGGTCAAAAATGAAAGTCAGAGCTTTAATTATAAAGAATAATATTGCTGCGTCAACTGTGGTGGTTTTTTTTGTTTGTTTGTTTTTTTCAATGCAGTAACTCGGCCCATCGTTTGTCAAAAAATCTCTTCATTCTGTGGCCGGCTCGTCCAATTTCAGAGTCGTCTTCATTAAATTTTTGACAGTTATCAAAAACCAGGTTCACATCAATAATGAAGTTCTCCTGATTTAAATACCTGTAAACATAAAATAACAGTTTAATGTACACACCAAACCTTTATATGTAGTTATTCACAAAGCCTTGAAAACAATTATTCCTACCCTTTGAAGTTTATTTAAATTTTGAAAAGTTAAATGTATTTTAATGATTTTTTTTGATACATGAGCTTTAAATGGGGCATAATTTTGAAGTGGTTTAAAACATTTTTTTCAACTGGCTTTATACTTGTAACCCAAAAAATGATTCAATTCAGTTTTGAATCAGAACATAAATATTGTTTTTAGGCCTCATAAGTTTGTTTGAGAACATTATTGAACAGCATCAAGTTAGAAGGAATATACCAATACTAAATATATAGCAATGCACGAACTTAGATCAGCGCATAAGAATACACTAGAATTGTTTAGTCAATTGTTTAGACTATTTGTAAAAAAAAAACAAAGTATTGGAAACATTTTCCTTTTAGTTTTGCACTAATTTAAACTTCATATCACATAAGACCTAGGGTTTTATATGATGGACCAACTCAATGAAAATTGGTATTGTGATGTGACATAATATGGAAAAGTATAAGGGACAGTATACTTTTGAAATAAGTAAAAAAAAAAAAAAAACATGACCAATTTGGCACAATGATATTAATACTTACATGTTATTGATGAGTTTTTCCTTAATAGTAAAGAAGTCCATTGGTTTCTTGATGACTTTTCTGTATCCAGGGACAGACTTGAGCTTAACTGGGCTCAGAAAGGGCCACGCATCCTGATGGGCCTCCAGCTCAGCCAACAGCACTCTGAAGGGAAGAAACAGGTGATCATCCGTTTTCTATTAAGTGTCACTTTTTCTAATATTGTTGTATAAAACAACAATAATATGGTTGTTTTATACAAAAAGACAAATGCTGCATGTTCTGAATGTGCATTAACATACCGACACACAGCCAGCTCACTGTTTGGTGTTTTGGCCCTTTTTGCACAGGAGACAAGGCTGTCAAACCTGGACTCAGAGCTGTCTTCTCCTTTCCTCTTTTTGAACTCCTTGGAACCTCTTTTTGGCATGTCGTTGCTGCTGGCAACCTCCTCACTGACAAGCTCTCCCTTCACAGATGGCTTACAGTTTTGTTTTACCTCACTGCTTTTATGCTTTCCCCCAGCTGTTTGGCTTTGTTGTTTCCCACTGGGAGGAATTTGACCACTTTCCTGAATGGCGGAACACAGAAGATTTTAGAGGATCTAAAAATGTACCATCTGTCCATTGAAAATTAAGAACAAATTGTCAAAAGGAATCATTCACTCACACAAGAAGAACAAAACCATGCTTCAGCAGGTACCATGGTTATCTTTGGATTATGGCAGTAAGTGTGACAGCCTTTGTCACAGCCATCACAAAGTAAGAGAAGTTCATCATTGTCTCCTTTTTGACAGAGCTGGCACTGCTGGTAAAACAAAAATATAAAGACAATTATATACATAATCATTTGGAAAAGTTTCAAATGATAATTAAAATGCTTTTTTCATGGCATTTCAGATGGCAATACATTGATATATTAAACAGCTTATTTTCAGGTAGCCCAGAACAAATGACTTGACAATGACTGTTTACAAAACACATGCTCTTTAGTCAAAGTGTTGCAATAATTTTTTTTTTAACATAATCAGAGAGATATCAGGAAAAACCAACCACTTTCATGACGTCTTGTTTCCAAACAACAGATTTCTGTAGATGCTGAATGCAAAGAGACAGCTGAGCTGAACTGCAGATTTTACCGAGGGCTTTATGCCACTGTCTCATCCCAGGAGCAACCTCTTCTTTGTTGCTGTAAAGAGACAATATATAAGACTCATTGGATAATTTATTTTAAAAATAAACAGTACCCCATACAGTTTTTAGTTACAAAGCACCATCCACAGACTCACTTTACCTCAAATACAAACATGATTATCACACTGTGCTGTCAGATCACAGGTGTGCAGTTTGAGGTCTACCTTGGCTCAATGTTCCTCTCCAGCTCTGCAAGCCTGTTGACTGCTACGTCAAGAAGATTGTTGGAGCGTCGCATCAAAAAGCCTGGAAGTTTCTCCTGTTGAGTTTCTCCCTGTTTTTTGCTTTCCAAAGAAACTGGAGAGAAGGGCTTGTGTTCAAAATAGACCAGATCGTCACTGTTGTACTTGGGTTCATTGGGCATCCAACCCTAAAGTAGATACATTTGTGCATTATAACCATTATGGTGCTGTAGGAATCTTATTTTATTTTGGAATTTATGAATCAGACAAATACATACCTGAATGTGTAAATTGGCAGATATTACATTTTTCTCCAGAGCTTCTACCTGCAGCAGCAGTTTGCTGTCCACCTCTACGGCTCGTTGTTCAACACACCAGCCTTCAAAAATCTCCCTGCTTATCTTCTGCTTTTCTGGGTCTTTTGTATCAAATTCTGCTGCTACAGACATAGTAAAATATTTTAGGATCTACAATCAACTTGCAAAGCCTTGTAAAAGTATTCATATCCATTGAATGTCTTTACATTACAGCCACAAATCCCAGTATATTTTAATGGGATTTTATCCAACAAATAAACATGGTACAGCGTGCAATTGTGAAGCAAAAACAAAATTATTAGTTTTATACTATTTAACTACAAAGGAAGAGACAGAAAATGAGGTGTATTTGTATTTAGCTTCTCTGAGGTATTTCTTTAGAGACGTACAGCAAGTTTTTTGGGTTATGCATCTAGCAGGTTTCCATGGCTAGAAAATGAAAACTGTACTCGTTTTTTTTTTTTTGGTAAAAAATGTTTCAAGTGGAGTCAAATTAGATGAAAGGAATCCGTTAAAATAAATGAGTCTTCCCAGATAATCACCTGGATTTATGCTTGGACTTTGAGTGGGCCATTCCAACACAAGATAAAGTTTGATAAATCTTTACATTTCAGCTCTAGGTGTATGTTTGTAGTCACTGTTCAATGAACATCTGCCCCAGTTTCATGTCTTTTGAAACTACTGAGAGGTTTTCTTCTTCTGGGTTCTAAAGCTTAGCCATTTGTCCCATTGTGATAATTTGGTGCCAATATTCCACGTAGAGACGACACCCTTCGTCCATCTCGTGTTTCACGTGCACACACAAGTGAAACACAAGAAACACAAGCACACATCCACTTTCCCTCTACAAAGAAGTTCTCTCTGATTGTTCTGGCATATGGGAGCTATTGTCAAGTAGCACTGAATTCACTCTTTCATAAACTGATACAGTGAATGTATATGGCTAATGATTCCTGATAACCAGGTGGTGCCCTGACTTGTTTAATAAATGCATTTTGATAAGTGATATGAATACTTTTTCAAGGAAATGTAATTTGTGCATCTAAAATGCAACATTTCAGCTTGTTCATATATTATTTGTTGAAGTTTAAATTACCATTTGTTCGGTTGGCATAGATCTGGCTCATGTGCTGCATATTTTTTTGGATCTGTTTCTGCAGCACCCTCTCTCTGATACCCCGATTGTGGAGAGAATTGACCAGACTCTGCAGGTTCTCCACATCTGAAATTCTCCACCAGCCTCTCAGCATCTCTGCCAAAACATGCATGTAGATTTAACGATTCTTCCAAGATTTTTGGGCTGACAAATATCACATTATCACGATGTATATCCTGATGGCTTTTTAGTCCACAATATTTAACTTTCCATATACCAGAGAGGTTCCCCTCTTACCTTCAGGAACTGGCTGAGGACAAATGTAATCCTGAGCCTTGGCTATCTCCAAAGGAGAGAATGACGCACAAGCAGACTTGTTATTCGGAGGCTCTGTGGTCTCACTCTTGTCGACAGAATTGCAATCTGCCAGACAGAGGTCTTTGTCTCGATTACCCTCTGCTCCCTGGGAGGTTAGATCCAGCAAAGAGGTTATAGAGGAAGGAGGGGGGGCAGGCTGGAACTTGTTGCTGAGCTGAACATGTCATACAATGTCAGACTGGTCAGATGAATGCAAGACTTTACTTTATGAGAAGATAAACTGCACAGTACAAAAGTTTGTTCCACTTCTCATTCTATACAACAAAAATAAGTAGTATTTAAGTTTTAAAATAATTTTTTTTTTAAAATTAAATATTATTTAAAAATTCACCTTTTGTAAGTTTTTGCACATCAATTTGGGTCTCTACTGAAACCAAAAATACCTCTAGCACTTTAAAAAAAAAACACCCTGCCATTTTTTGACAATAAGTTCATAGTTATTGATGTTTGGAGAACAAGCAAAACCTTCCTAATGTAACGTCACAAATCCGCACTGCACCTCATCAAGCAACCCCAGCGAAGCCAAGCCCATTATCTGGCAACCCAAGTGGAGCTCCAGCATGATTGGTCAGCTGGTTTTACCATTGTATTTGCTGTACAATGACTGCTGGAAAAGAAAACAAGTGTTTTGCTGTTGATTCACCATCCAGAAACCATTTGCTTACCTATTGGTTGTGCAGGAGACTCTACTTCTGCTTTCCAAATATGTTCAGTTATATAATTACACATTTGTTTGTAGCCATTTTCATGAGCCAGAGTAAATGAGTTAGAGGGGTTAATGAGGTGATGTGGTCAGCATCAACTTACTTGGATTTAAAGTGACAAGAAGTCCTAAACACTCATTTTCAAAAGAGCTCTAAATAGGCAGAACTGAGCAGACTAAAATCTCATTACCAAAGAATGATTTGGTGCAAGAAATACAATGAATCTGTTTTGAATAGCGCATAGACCTATCCTAACCTGTTCAAGAAAGCATTCACTTGGATTCTGACTAACTCTCAACAAAGGAAACCTAATTGTTTGATACTGCAATAAAATAAAGACTGACCTGAGAGTCAGCTGAATGTAGTCTATTATTCCCAGCTTTAGTGTTTTTCCTTGGGGTATTTGGGAGGAGAGAAGAGGAGGATTTGGTCCTGACAAGTTGTGAGGAGGAGACGAAAGCTGGACAACTGACATTCGAGACCACAGAAGAGCCATCACAAGGAGCGCGGGGCAGGAGGCTAAACCACTCACTGCTTTTTTCAGTCAATACCGCAGACAGCTGATTGTCAGGCAGGATGGATTGAGGGCTGTGGGTCATGCTGTTATTGTTGAGTTGGGCACCACTGAGCGTAGATGAAGCTGAAGTTTTATCTGTCTCCAGGGTACAATAGGAATGATAAGGCTCTGTGATAGAAACTTGATTAGGATGGGTGTTCTGAGAATCAATGTTTGAGTTTTGATCCATTTTGGCTGCTTCAAACAGTTTGCTGAGCTTAGAAAAAGACTTTTGGAGAAGATTGTCATCATTGTTCTCTTGGCACTCTGCCTTGGGTTTAACATTTGCTGTCCTCTGTTGTGAGATCTTTTCCTGCTGCTCCTCTTTTACTCTGACAGAAGCCTTCTGTCTTCCCCAGTCTTTCTCCACCTCCTCCAACTCTGTGAAAGACAAACATTTGGCCAACTAAGAATTATGGAACATAATTCAATAATCAATTCTGAATTTACATTTACCATTCGCTACTCCTTCAACAAATATGCCCCCACAATGTGGGAGGAGCCAGTAACGCCTCCTGTATCGGTCTTCACCAACAACCATCGAGCGCAGTGAGTGAGATGCTTCAAACAGCTTCTGACTAATTTCACTTTGCAACTTAAAAGAGAAAAAAAGAATCAAAATTTAGATAAATGCATCTCAGTGAATTACAATGCCAGTGAATATTAGTCATAGTAATTCAACACAAAAAGAAAAACTCAAGTAATATATAAACACATACACTCAGAGTGATGTATTTTATGTGCTTAGTTGTGATTATGATGACTATGGTTTCATTTTATGCCTTTAGACTAATGTCAAGAGGATGCTGGGAGACAAAGGCCAAGATTGCAAAAGAGCTGAAGGTTACCAATTATAATGCTTTACCAATTATAATATGTGTAATAATCTTGATCATACACAAGTCTCTCTTTGTGAATTGAATATTTGAAACAAAATAACTAATTTTTCTGTAAAGGCATTCATCAGCCATGAACCGTCTTCTTTTACCTTGCATGTTTTCTGGATCCTTGTCTCTAGTTCGGTAATATCTCTTGAATGTCTAGCGGCTTCCTAGGAGAAAAATATATATTTCTGAAGCTAGAGAAACAAATTTTAAAACAATGATTTTCCAGTTAGAGAACATAATTTCTGACCTCCTCTCCACATGTCTCTGATTTCTTCATTTTCCTTCTCCTCATTTCTTCCTCCTGTCCATCATAATCCTCTCCTTGGTCTTCGCTGTCTTCTTCATCCTCTTCTTCGCTGCTCCTGCTTTTTCTCTTACATTTGTTCTGGACAGTGACACTGCTGAAGGTATGGTTCTCTTCTCCTCCATCAATGTGTCTTTTATCTGTTTTCTTTACATGGATGTTCCTCAGTCTACAGAAACAAAAAGTTAGCAGAATTTGATTTCAATACAACTTTAACAATATTCAATTAATATCCATAAGACATCTCAGATAACTTATTTACTCACTTGCGCAGCTTTCCCTCCAATGCCCACTTATCCTTCCTCAGGTTGGTCATATAATCTATGTTTTTGTCAATCTGGCTGTAAAAACATCAGGCAAAACCATCAACCTTCTTTTTGCATGCTATTTGCATATTTAGTTGATGAAATGTGAGGATGTATAGAGGTCTGATCACCCAGCAGTTTTAATAGTAATAAAAGGGAAAATAGCCTCTGGCAGTGAATCCCTGGTCTGATTCCAAATTATCAACACCAGATTTCAAAGACCTGATCCCTTATACCACATCTCCTCTACCTACTTTATGTAGCTCATAAAAATAAAACAGAAGGATCTGAGGCATTTTAACATGTCAAAGAGTGCAAAATACACTTTAAAGCAAGACGCATCGCCTGATGCAACCTGGTGAAAGTCCCTGTCAGCCGGAATTTGACAATTTCATACACATATTAGTACAACAAAGAAGTTTTACAAATTAAGCTTTTATTCTGACAAGGACATGACATAGCCTAACATCTTAAGTTAACTTGTTATTGTAAATAATTCCAAAGTGTCGTTAGCATACAGACCCCCTGCTTTTACTGTCCTGATAAAGAACAAATTCCTACAATCATTTCTTTTTTTTTCTGCTTTCAGATGATGTGAAGATCATTTTTGGAGTGGTTAATTTATTTGTGAGCATAGATAGATTTCAAAAGAGGCTGTTGAGTTTCCAGAGACTTTTGTAAAACACAAAAGTTACTACAAATGAACAAGTTTCTGGAGTTCTTGATCAAATACATACAGACAGGAGAATATTTTTGACTAAAGAAAAACACAATATAGAGAATAAATTAGAGTCTCCATCAGTACCACACTGGAGAATGGAGAATAATAATAGTGTTATTTTGTCAACATGTTGAGCATTGTCAAATAGGCGTCTTCACTCAGTGATATACATATTGGTGGCATCCACAGCAATAGATGAAAAGAAACATACAAATCAGAAAATCTCAATGTGAAGCAGCAATTCTGATAAACATTTCTTAACTTTATTTGATTTAATTGTAAAAATAAATCAGAAGGTAATCTTACCTGATCACAGCCTTACTGCAGCAGAGTTCGTTAACCAAGAACGCCAGCATAGCAGCCTTATCTGATGGGCTGTGAGCCTGGAACGCCTTGGTTTCAAGGCTGTGGGCCAGAGCAGCCACCGCTGTCTGTTCAGAATGGGCTTCCATGTAGATTTTCAGAATCTCAGACACATTGTCTCGGTTGATCTCCACATTAGTCAAATGGTCTCCCAAAAGGGTTTTGCACTGAAACAGTCATACAATTTTTTTAAAAATCTCTAGCTGGTTCCAAATGACAAAAAATTCAAAACCGTTTGACTTCTACGATGCTAAGTTACAAAGGATAAAAAACTGACATAAAATACTTGTTTCCTGGAAGACTGTAAGAACACAATATGAATTAAATCCTTGTCCAAAAGAAAATAAAAATACATTGCAACACATATCAAGTTTTAGGATGCCATTTTCTAAAGTTCCTGACCAAATCTAGTTACTTATGTCTTCCAGCAAAACAAGACCAACAGTAACCTAACTATTTTGCCATTTGTGTGGATCTGTCCCCATTTAAAATATGCATATTTGACATTCATTTTCAGTTAGTGCTGCGTGCACCTTTCCCTCACCTTATGGCCTGCAGGTATACCCGGATCACACACAGCTGCAGACAGCATGCTCACCAGCAGGTCCTGCACCTTCTTGAAACTGTTCCCAATGTTGAGCAACCCATCTTGCAAGTTGCTTATAGTGATCTGGTTGGAGTTTATTCCGAGTTTTAGAACGACCCCAAAGTTACGGATAAATTGCAAAACCATCAGGCAGTCCGAGAATGTTTTTCCCGGTAAAATTAGTCCAGGTATACCAGGTAATTCTGGAAGAGGCTGGGGAAAGAGACACAATTATTCTTAACTTTTTATATTGTGGAATAAAATTAATGATGTGCATGTTGCTATTAGTCTTAAAGTATTTTCAAATAAATAATGTAAGTAGTGATATCTGGTTTCTGGTTATACCAAGAGTGCCCACTTGATGGCACTGTCGTGATCTACATCCATTTCAATTTAAATCATTTTAAGTGTAGTTTGGTTGTCAAATAAACAAAGAGCGGTTCAAATCTTTAAGCATGTAGCTTCAACAACATTACAATGATTATGGCATTTATAAACAGCTTACATTCTGCATACCTTATGATCTGGTAAACACAGGTCTTCTTTTGGCTTCATTAGCTCCTTAGCTTTTTTCTGCTTCAGTCTTCTGAGCTCCAGTTTCTTCTTCTTGTTTAATTGTTTCTCTGCTTTCTTTTCTTTTCTCAGACGTTCCTTCTCCTGCAACAAAGAAATTAGATTTGCAATCCCAACAAAAGCACTGTAGGGTTGTTCTGCATTTTTTGATAGGGTGATAAAATGCAACTACAACACAAATATACAGTACCTTCCAAGTCTGTAAATCTCTTGTGCATTTCAAAACATTTGTTATTTTACAACTACAAAGCTTTGTACATTTTACTGAAATTTTATTTCATAAAAATTGACAATTTAGTGCAGAAGCGTAAAGCTGACTTTAAATGAAGTAGATTTTCACATTTTGAAAGTGTATACTTTGATAAATTATTATTTTTAAAAACAAGTATGGCTAAAACTAACTCTCCATTATGAAATGTAACCTTATCAGTGTGTGAAAGGTTAAGGCGTGAGCAGTAGTTCATCACCTCTGCCTTCCTCCGGGCCTCCACAGCTTTCATCAGAATCATGTGCTGCCTGCGCCTCTCCCTCTCCTACCAGTCAACAGAAAAGTGTTTTCATTTTAATTCACAACTGTTCAATCTATTGGGATAAAACCTAGAAGTATCAATGACAAATATGATACATAACTTTAAATAAGAAGCATGGGAAGCAGAACTCAAACACAGTTAAAAAAGAAAACAGTTTACGTCAGTGCTTCATTTATCAGCTCATGCAAGGATAAAACGTTCTGGAGAACATGATGGTAAACATACACACAACATACATATGTTCTCAGTGTTTTGCAATGACAGTTTGATATTAACCCTGAGTGCATTATAATCATAATAAAAAGATAATATGTATTTCCACAGCGTGACCAACAGCAGAGAGGTGTGCAGTGGATTATTCTGAAAAAGCCATGCAGAGGGATGCAATAATACAATATTAGCTATTCATATAGCACATGCATTTGCTGTTCTAAATGTACAAAACAATAACATGCCCGTACCATATCTAGCCTATACCTCTCCTGCTCCTGGGAGAAAGATTAGGCATAGAATTAGAAATCAGAAAAGCACAAGTAAAACCAAAGCCAGAAAATTCATGTATGGAACAGGAAAAAAAAGATTAAATAATAAATAGCTAAAAAACTTAAATTCTTCTGAAACATGATATAGATTAAGAACAATATTGCTATCAGTTTTGGACAAAAATCATACCTGGTGCTTCTGTAAGAAAGATTGAAGCTTACGGATCTCTCTTTCCTTGAAACAAAGGATTCAATTAGAAATCCAAACATGAGCACATAAAGGAGCACAATTGAACAGCATGCAGAAAAGGCAAGCTTGGTTCATTGTACTGAATAATCTTATTGTCAAACTTCCAACCCCATAAAGATCACCGACTAATGAAATGTGCAAATGAAAACATCATCAATCTGTGCATGTACATAAAAATGAGGTTAGTTTGCCTCTTTGTAATTACACTGATGTTGCAAGGCAATCCACAACTTTCACACTGACAAGTCAGAAAACAGTAATGCTAGAGCGATGATGCCTCCAGTATGCAATGGGCTAATGGAAAAAAGAATTGGTAAACCAAATTAGCACCAATTAAAGTTTACCTCACCTGGTTTCTTTTCTCTGCTTCTAACATTTTCACATTGGCTGCAGCTTCTTTTTTCTTTCTCTTTGCCTGTAAGAAAAAACAGGCAAACAGGACTAAGGCATACCATCAGTGACACCATCTATGTGTCTGATCACACAAAGCAGAGTTCATCCAGCCCAACTGAAACACTTAGTTCAGACCACTAGCACCAAAGTAATTATTTTGTTTTGGACAGATTAAAACAATTTTAAAATGTATCACCATCATCATTAAAATGAAATGACATGACTGAGGAAGCCTTCTCTACTGTACATTGCTTAGTAATCTTGATTCTACACAGCAGTTTCCAGATAACATTGTATTGAATTTACAAAAATTTTATAACATGAAAATTTTTGTATTTTCATGTTATAAAATACAAAACTGTCGTAATAGTAATGAAAAGAAAAAACAGGGCTCAGTGAGTGCAAATTAAGCAATGTTTTTATCAGTGATTGCAGCTCTAATGAAATCCTATTAAGAGCCTCTTACTAAGCGTGTCAGCTGAAATTTGATTTAGAAAGGCTGAAATACTTAACAGCTTTTATTAATGAGGGAATGTAAAATAGGTATATTACACACTACCGTGTAAATTCTTCTCCTCTCTTGATTAATGAATACTCTATTTTTCATCAAACTTCAGCACGTATGGGGGGCTTTTCATATCTAATTGTACTTTTGCAAAGAAAGTGTTAGCATTATATATATGTATTTTTTTTTTCATCCAAAGCAGATAGGAGGCGTTTCAAATTTCAGAACAAACCTCAAGAACCTGCTGTGCACGGAGTTCTTTCTCCATACGAATATGCTGACTGCGCTTGATCTTCTCCTGGAGAAAGGATGAGGGCAAGATCAAATGGATTAACTGTTAAGTCATGCATGGTAGAAAGCTTTGAGGAGAAGCAGAATGGGAAATGAAGGTCTACCAAGTGTTAATGCAAATACGGAAGTTGCAGCATTATAAATTACTGTAGGAGTTAATTCATAGGAACATGAATTACTGTGGAAAAAAACAAAAAACATACTTGTTGTTTATGAATCTTCATCTCCTCTCTTTTCTTCCGCCTCTCTTCAGCAGCCCTTATTGCTGGAATATGCAAAAGAATAAATTCTGAACACAACTTTCAATCTGAATTAGAAGAGTCTGATTGAACAGCAACTGTTTACCTTGCTGCTTTTTTGCCTCCTTGGTGGCTTGTGCTATGGCCTGTTTTTCTAGTTTTCGCATCATTTTTATCTGAGCTGCCTGTCGAGCTATTTCTGCAACATGACAAAATATCAAATAACATCTAAAATATATGAATACAGGAATAAAAAAGAGCAATTCAAACTTCTTTAATTACTAAAATATTTTAAAAGAGGAAAAAAAAACTTCTGGTTTAAAAAACCTAAGACTTAAAAAAATATTGACCGTAGATTGATCACAAAGTTTTTACAATGCTGAAAGACAAGATTTTTGTGCTGGACTAAGATTAAGGTTATTCCTCCATTAAGTCTTCAGCTGTGACAATAAGAGCATACATGTGAGCAGATGCCACAAACATCTGGTCTGGTGTTTAACCACTGTACAGAGAAGTCCCACTACAAACTGGTGGGAATTAGACATTGCATGTGCATTACTATCAAATGCACTAAAGCAAAATTAAACTTGCACAGTAAAAAACATGAAATTAGAGATAACCACAGTCATGTGGAACATAGTTTTCAGTAAGACAAATAATAACCAAGATATTTGGATTTTAAGATGTTTAAAAGCAACACCAGCAAAACGTTGAACAGCTTCTGCATGCTGAGTATTTCAGTGATGCAAACTAACCTTGAGCTTCCAGTTTACGTAATAACTTTGAATCACTAATATCTTGAAGAGGAGGTTCACTATAATATGCAGAATGAAGATGCTGGGCTGCAGAAACATTGTTTGCAGTCTGGTGTTTGGATTTTGTTTGTCGGCTGCGCCGTCCACTCATTGCTATGATACAAGAAGAAATGTCCTCCTCAGTCATCAGGAACCACTGTAAACCCTGACAAAGATCAGGAAAGTCAGTGATGGAAAACATCAAACCTTAAAGTTTTTGAGTTCATCACCAAAGATACAATATACAAACATAATCAAAATGTTGGTCTACAGTCATTAAAAATGGGGTTAACTGTTATAATCCCATTAAATATTTTAATTTTAATCTGCCATTGATGTGAATAATCTTGGGCTTAACGGTATCAATAATAAATTCAATAAATAGAGCTGGGACGCAAAACTTTTACCTCTGGTCCTTCTCTACCTTCATAGAAGTTACCAACTTTAATTTTTGTGCTGAAGCTGAAGTTGTCCCGGGAAATCTCTGTTATTCCATGCCGGACCAAATACTGTGGAGGACAGAGTAACGCAAAGTCATTATTCAGCTCAATTGTCAACAAAAGTTTCAAACTCAAACATTTAAAGCTCTAATTCAGGCTTTTAGAAAAGCTCAGCTTCACTATACATCATTTATTTACCTTCACTACATCAGGATATTGACGCAGCTTTTTTCCACATGGAGCAAAGTAAACCACCTCCCCTTGCAGGCGGCCTGCAACAGTTCTCATCCGGGTCTCTCTCTCCCATCTGAAGAGGAATATCAAGAACAAAAATTTGATAAAATAAATATATTAATATCCCATCATAAATATATTGGAATAAATGGAGTTTAAAACTACTTTTATCAATTTAATATTTGAGCCAGAGATGAGGTCCGATTTTTAATTATTGGACATGCATCATAAAATAACTGTAGACCTTAGTGAGAAACCCTAATTCTACCTGAAAATTGGCTTCAACGTCAAGGCTAAGCTGCAAAGTCTCACCCAAACTTAAGAGGTAATTGCAGAGCTCTCTCATCTGTGACTCTCCTTTTTTTCTTCAAACCTAAAAAAAACAGAAGGGAAAATTTGTGTTTTTCTCACTTACTAAATATAAGCTAGTATTTTTAAAATAGAGGAGGAAAATAGTGTAAAAATGGAAGGTGGTCATGTTGTTGCAAAGAATGATGTACCTGAATAATTTTAATAAATGAAAACTGTTTTTGTCATCTAGTATTCTGAAACATATAATCACTGAATCCATTTTCTCATTTGTTCAAGTGCGTCGTAAACATGAATCTGATCTAAACAATTCTAGACAACAAAGAATCAGATGGGTTTTAGTCAATTACTTCAATGTATTATTAAATATTGTTAAAATATATATCTAAATACATTCATAAATGTACTACCTTAACAACATTATGTAATAAAGCATTATATTTATATATTTCTATTGTGAACACAGATGTTTTTTATTTTTATCTTGTGTCAAAGCGGAGTACTTTGGTTAGATGCTCAGAGGGGAAAATAAACACATTTTAGAGCAAAACAAAATAGATCAAAGGACAGACGTCCGCGTCCTTTATAAATCTGCTATTAAGGACGCGGCCCTGCGTCTCCAACGCCGAACCATGAATTTGTTCACGCCAAGCAGCTATCTGTATTGCCAGATCAATAGCCTTCAACTTAAAAGCACCGTCATGTGAACTTCTTCATGTTGTTTCCATAATGAAGGGGCAGGAGTTTGAAATAATTTCTTCACCGTGCCTGCTGCTAGCATGTGCTTGTTCTAAATAAAAATCAGAACTTTTTTGATTTCCAACTTTGACTTCCAGTGATTCATTTCCTGCTAAAGAGCCCCCTGGTTGTTGAAGAGAAATCCACAGAAAAGCCGTACCGGGCTATAAGCCACATGGTTCTAAGTGTGGGGAAAAAAGTAGCGGCTTACAGTCTGAAAAATATGGTAATAATAATAAAAATAAAAAGACAGACTTTGGGAGGGTCTTATAGTGATTAAACTTTCCTACTGAAATTTTACTAGACAACCTATAGAAATATATTGTATGTAAAACAATAGATTTGTTACCTGCTGTTGCAAATGTTAAAGGGGCAGGGAGGTTTCCATGATGGTAGAGTGAATTAGTGGCTGGTACAATTAAATGCTTGGGAATCTGCAGGTTAAGCAGGGCACCACTCCTGATAGCATCAGTATGTGATTCTGCCTTGAATAACTCCTTCCCATGATCCTTCGCACTGTCACTCTCAGGATTGCTCCCAGAGTCTGAGGGTAATTGGAGACAGAGAAGGCTCAGTCTATTTCCATCATACATTCAAACTTGATTTCAGATATTTTGTTTTTCTTTTCTGATTTCTCTAAGCTCTTTCCATAAACATATTTATTGCACTGTAACCTAACCTGAAAGGCTACTGCCAGAATTCAGACTATTCTCTTCGTCATCCTCAATGTCTCCTGAAGAGTCCTCCGAGCCTCTGAAATCAAAACCACTGCTTCTGGTTAAGTCTACAGGTTTTAGGCAGGATCTGGTTTTTGCTGGTCTCCACCCTCCATGCAGAATTGAAACAGCATTAATTGATCCTGGAACAAGTGCTGATGGGGAAGATTTCGATGGCGAAGCAGATGTGTCTGACAACTTCTTGCCGCCAATGCTCAGGTTGACGGGTGTGTGGTAGAGAGGACTGGTTGCTGACAAGAGCGGTCTTTTGCTTGGAGAGTTGGCCTGGATACGAGGTTTTGTTATCAGAGCCAAAGGTGCATCTTGATCTGCAGTGCTGACCACGCTGTTAAAGCGGGAATTTAGCAACAGCTCTGGGTTCCTGCCAGATGAAAAGAACAAAAGTGAATGAATATAAACAATGACAAACTAAGATTTTAATAGCACTTTGACTGTTTGAGGAGCATACATATTTTTGAAAATTTCAACCAGAAACCTACAATTATCTTATCTGGATTTTTCTAACGTTTTTTTTTTTTTTTTAATGGCACTAGAGACCTTTATTCAATATTAGCCTAACAGAAAAAAGGGCAGAGAGAAAAAAAAGGGGAAAACATGTAGCAGATGAGGCCAGGAATTAATCCAGGGACAACTGCATTGAGAACTGTAGCCTTTGTGCGATGTGCCTGCTCTATCACTTTGCCATGAGGTGGCCCTTTTATAAGAATTATTAATTAAAAACAACACAGCAAAATCCTTAAATATAAAACTACAAAAAGCAGTTTAAATGAACAAGTTTTAAAAAAAAATATAAAATATGTTATAATAAGAACAGTGTTAGATAGTTGCCTTTAAGTATGAACAGAGAGGTAAAATATTTCGTTCTTACCAAATTTGGTTCTTGGGTCGTACAAAGGAAGCCTTCTTCACAGCATCCATCTGAGTTTCAACCTTTATGAATAAACAGAAAAACAACAAATAAATCACTGTCACTCACAATGTATTGCTGTGGGTTGTGAATGAAGTTGTAATAAAAGAAAATGACAAAGAAAAGCAGGCTAGAGTCTGTCAAATATTGAAGACAGACTGCTATAAAAATTTTGTTTAGCTTCCTCCCCTCCCACTATCAGACATTAACTGACAAGTTATGTATGTGTTGCTATTATCAAACTTTGATAATCAAAAAGCTGTAATTTCTTGGGAACCGTTACATGGATCCAAATGCCTCTGATACACAGTCCTTCATTATCCCTTACTTTTACAACAGTGACAATCACGATACACTGTAAAGGAGATTTACTTTCCATAACAACCAACCCCAAGCATAAGAGAGCTAATTGGTGATCCGTTTTGTGACGTTGATCTTGAAGAAACAAAACACACTGTAATTTTCAGGGTTTGAAACAGAGTTAGAGTGTGAAGGGCAAGCCTTGCTGTGGGACTGTGGACTGTGTTAAAGAAATGTTGTCAATAGCCAAGCACTGCTATGCTGTTGGCTTTTCTCCTCTGCACTCACTGCACTGTGGAAAAACAGTACTGTGCAAGTAGGGAGACCAACAGGATGAAAAAGGAACTGAAACTGATCAGAGGAAGTCACAGGAACACTGTGACAAAGACTTGTTTGACAGGCTTTTCTATCAACAGCAAAAGGTCTCCTCTCTTTACTCTCGGAAGTGTTGTGTGTCAGATGCTGAGTAGGAGGAAAACAACAAAAAGACAGAACATCATGTCAGCTCCTGTTATGAGATTCTTACACTAGCAGCTCTATCATCTAACACATGCTTCCAGCCTTCCTCCCACCAACTGAGCATGATTGTTGACAAATCCAGAGCAGATATGAAGTTATCAAATACACTTTATCAAACTTGGTTCTGTCACTCCAACTACATTTCGTTATGCATAATTCAAAATGTTAAAATATTTCTATTCTCAAACATTTTCCATATTGTTATACACCACAAACTTCAATGGATACTAATGATATTGTATGCGATAGATCAAAACAAAGTGAGTACCGCAGGTAGGAAAATATGGTGGTAGTATCATGTTGCAGGAATGCTTTTCTTGTGCATGGAAAGGGAAATTATTTAATTTAATGAAAGATGGATGAAGCCATCTTGGAGAAAAAAAACTGTTAAGATGCTGCAGAAGAGTTGAGACTCACCCGGAGGTTCAGGACAGTAGGACAACCACCCTAAATATACAACCAGCACTCCAATGGGATTAAGGCGGCTAACTCTAACCCCCGAGAGTATTCTGCATGTTTTTGGACGTGTTTCTACACAGAAGTCTTCAGTATCAGGGTTATTTTAATTAAAGGCAGTTATTTTTAAACTGCTGTCCAATCTAACTGAACTTGAGCTATTTTTCAATGACAAATATGCAAAATTTTTGTACCTAGTTTTAAAAAGCTTTTAAAATTACACTCAAAGACTTGCACCCAAATATTATTCTACAAAGCATTTACCCAAATAATCACACTTTTCAGTTTTATTTTTAGAAAATTTTCATGTATCATTTTTCGGGATAACAGAAAATATCCTGAAAGTATTAAATGTGTGTGTGCAATGTGCCAAAACGTAAAAGACGTCAAGTTTTATGAATTATTTTGCAGCAAACTGTACATATGCAAATCTTTTGTCAAAAAAGATTCAGAAACAGTTCCACATCAACAGTTCCACTAACTTTCTTTCCAACAGGGACCTCTTTTTCAGAGTCAGAGTCATCGCTGTCGCTGCTTAGATCCTCATCATCTTTTTCCATATTGTCAGAATCACTGCTGCTTTCTTCACTGGAGCTTTCTGACAAGGATCCTGATAGGTGAACATTACACCTGGGTGACTCTACCGGTCTTTTTATGACATCCTAAATGACAATAAAATAAGATTGGAAAAAGATTACATTCACCTCATACCAAAGTGATAAAGAAGAAGAAAAAATGTGCTTAATACAAACCTTTTCCTTAGTTGTTAGAATGGTCTTGGTCTGGTGTTGCACATGCTCAGAAAGGCTGTTTTGACTCCAACTTGAGTTGATTTTAGTTTTCTCTTTTTCTTTAGGTGGTAATAAACTGGTGTTCAAGTTCCTGTTAGAGGAGGATGTGTTCCATCTGTCCACACCTGCACAAAATACCATTTTAATTGTCTTAAGAGAGTATAGGGTGTGCAATGTTAACCACATTGATACCCGGAGAGGTAAATTTTGAGTATTCATAATAAATACTACTAGTTAATACTTCCATGTTTTTTTTTTGTGATTTAGGTGTCATTTATATTCAGTACTGCTTAGTTCTGGATAATAACCAATGATGGAACAACAGTTTTGGTTTTTTTCTACTTCATTACCTGAGGTGCAAAGTTGTGGATCGCTGGGATTATGGGTTTTGAAGACTGGCATAGAGAAAGGATGCAGACCCAGGAGAGGGTGAAAGATGGCTCCTGCTCTGCAATTATCCATCTCAGCAGGCCGCCACAGCTCTGAGTGAACAAGACAGTATGTCATGTGTAAAGAATAAACATGCAAATATTCTGTCAACAAACAGAAGAACTTAACTTAAATTTATGTAAAATATCAATGATACTCAAACTGCATTTGTTGTACAACACTGTAGATTTTGAAGAATGTAAAATATTTTTTGGAAATTTTGGGTTGTTGGCATCTGCATCTTTAAACATTGCCATTAATTTTACTGTTTCATATGAAACAATCTGGGAAGATTCTTATTTTGTCCCATAAAACTCATTTTGACACAGACAGTTTTTTGTTTACAAAGCCCAGGTACAAACCAGAGAAGACTTTGTCATACCATTCTTATAATGTGATGCCAAAGAAACTCTTGGAATGATAAACGTTTTTCTCTGGATATATATAGAATGGTGCAACAAAATGCTGCTCCCAATGTACTGTTATGGCTGGAAGAAGACACTCAGCTCTTTCTATAACTTATTAGAAAAACATTTATAATTTGGAAAGTTTCTGGTCTCAAGAAATAAAGACAGCCAGCAATTGACAAAATATCTGAATTAACCCAGTTAACCCAGTTTATTTTAAATTACTGTTCAAAATATTTTTTTTTATTTAGTATCGCATGACAATTTGATACTAACCCCTGAAATAATTGCAGATAATATTTATATTTAATCACTTGCAATAAAAAAAATTCTATCCTGGTACTAAAAACTTTTGAAACCTTAAGTATTCCTTACTTGGAAATACTTTGAATTGTGTGTGTGTAGGTGTTGTCGACAAGCCCGTTTTTCCTCGGTGAACAAACTCAGAGCAATTTGAACTTGAGGTTAAAAGACCAAAAGCAGGACAGCTCTGCATATTTGAAAGTTCCTCTCCTGTCTGGTGACTGTGACCTAAAAAAAAATAAAGAGCACAGTGTAAAAATACAAAAACAAACATCTGAAAACCTTAACAGATTAACTGATTGACAGTGGATGGATAAATAACCCCAAAAATTATTAACTTAAACATAGATTGTATGGACAGATTTGACTTGGAGACCGTCACACCTTAGTTGTGCTTGTGGGTTAAAATGTTGGACTGATATCCAGCAGATGTAACACAAACAATAAGCTACCTCGCTGAACATTAATACGTAACATGAAGCGCCAAAAGCCATACTTGCAGTACTACATAACCTGAAAAACTATGAAAACTTAAAGAGACCAGATGGTAACATGTTTATTTAAAGGCAAAGTAAAATTATTATCCTTCAGGATGATCTGATGACAAGAACAGCTACAAATTGACCTTGACCAGCCATGATTGGTAATTACACAGTAGGAAACTTGAAATTACATTGTTTTTCCAAACGAAGAAATATGCATATTTGAGCAACTGACAGCTTAGTGTACTGTACGTACTTTATTACATGAGGTAGTATTTTAAATACATCCCACAAAACTAAAAATGTAATTAGTCCATATTTCCAACTGTTTTTCATATAAGAGATTTACAACTTAACACGGAGGTCTGTACCGACAGTACCTTTAAAAACCATTATTTTAAGGTCACCATTTAATGGACGCCTTGCAACAGATCTCAGTTTACTGAATTGCTACATCAATATGACTGTATCCTTCCATCTAACATGGGTATAAAAATTGTCCATATTTTCAGTTAATATATAAACATGAATAATTTATAATGGTGCCTGTGTTTTTCCACTTTAATAGCAGAAAAAACAAGGGTTTTAGGGCATTTTTCATTAAAGGAAAAAAAAAAAAAAAGAAGAAGACCACCCCTTGTATGTAAATCTGCACATTATTCTGTGGTCATGGATAATCTGACAGTGTGTCAGTGTGTCCAGCTCTGTTGCTCAGTACATAATGGCTTTGGCCACAGTTAGTATTCAGAGAAAACAAGAGATGCCACTGGCTGCATAAACAGAGTGGGGCTGACAGGCATGTTAAATCACAAAAGATAAACTGGAGCTTAAAGAAATCCACAAGGGCGTGTACTGGTTTTTAAATAGTTGCAATTCATTAAGTTGGTGTGCCGAATTCTCCAAATAGCCCTCCTTCTTTAAAAAATTCAAATAAAGCGTGCTTGATAAAGTCAGATTAATGATGCAATACATATTGTTAAGAAAAGCTACTGAAAACATCTCTCTGTGGGCGAGTCAACCAGATTTGCAGTACAACACGTTTGATTTTTAACCTGCTGTTAAATGTGCACATACCAAATATTGTAAAAGGGATGCTGCCTTCAGGACTATGTGCTGGACTGTACTTGACTGAGGTTGGTTGAGGTGGAGCAGAAGAGAAAGTGGGTACAGGAGAACCCTTCTGAAAGGAAGATGCAGGAGATGATGAAGCCAGCCCCAGTTTGGAGTCCATATCTGTTGATGAAAATAGGCAATCATTGATCAAACTTGATTCCTCATATTTTAGAGTACTTTTCCTTTTGGGCAAAATATATGTTGACTTATTGGATAAATTTACTGAATTCAGACATTTTTCTCAAATGTCATTTACAACAACAATTCACAAAAGTGGCCAACACAGATTTGATTTAATTAATTTTGGTGTTGACTAAACATGAACATTAAGGGGCACAAAAATGCAAATTAATCCTACATTAATTTTATTTTTTTATTTTTAAAGAAAGAATATTTCGTGTCCAAAAATAGATTTTGTTCTTTAAACTGTTTCTTCTTGCCCCGACATGGTCCTTTTGCATTGCAACAATTGGTTGATGTACATCTAAATAATATAGCTACACAGTCATCAGCAAAGATCAGCAGTATTTTTACTGCAAACACAGTCTCTTTTCAGCTACTGTAATAACTGGGTCATTTATCAAGATACCTCAACAAGGTTTGGCCACATGCAGAGTGCTGAACAGCTTGAAAGGGCACCAGTTGTGCTTAGAGTGCACACACAGAACAGATTACTATACAAATAAATAAAAAATCTCTGTCATGTTTGTTTGACAGAATTATTTTGCACAGCATGAAACAAAATTTAGTCATCTCATACAAAAGTATGGCTGAAAAAAAATTAGGAGTGAAACAATGTTTTTTTGTTGTTGTTTTTTTATACTTTTGAGGTGACAATGCACACAGATATGAGACAACCTTTATGACATGAATGCTTATGTTTACTAAGAATATTGTTCCTGAGAAAAATGTTTCTTAAGCGTTTGCTGAACTAGTTTTGCCAAGATTTAGTCAACCCAAGGAAGTCCCATGCAAGAAGCCCATTATGACCAAGCCCACAAAGCCTGAGCAAAATCCATATGCGATCCACATACACATGTTGGCTAAGGTCAGTGAAAAACCTGTCATTTCTGAATAAATCTAGCCTTTTTAATTCAGGCACCAAAGACTTGGCACAAGAAGCTCTAATTCTAAAACATGTAGGAGAATCCCTTGAGATACTCAGACTATTTTTATTTTGATGAAAATGTGGAAAAAACTAAGTTATTTTCTGGTGAATATTTTTAGAACCTGCTGCTCGCACCTCAATGTTTGTCAAATAGTCAAATTAAAAACTACAGAAGTAACCAGCTGTGTCCATGAAAATAGTTTTTATCTTAAAGGATGAACGTATCTGGAAATCAACCTGGGCATTTTTCCAAGTCACTGAGATTTTGAATTTTATTAATATTACGTTTAGGCATCTATTCTGATTGTGAAGCCATCATAAACCTACATGTCTGTCATATGAAGGCTTGTGAGAGAGGTTGTGAACTATCATTAAAAATAAATGAGTGACTCATCTGAGTGCCAAAAATAGCCACAATATACAACTAAATGCTATTTAATGATTGCACAAGGGAAGCAGTACAAATTATGGCTTGATGTGCAACCTCTGCTGCGAGTCAAAGCAGCCAAGTCAAGACAATATCTGAAAGAATCATCAAATAAAAAGGCTCCATGATCACAAAAGATACAGACAATCAGTATCATTCAAAATGCAGCTTCTTCTCTTTCTTTGTGAATGACCAAATCAGAAACCTTATTTTAAATAAAACATTTAAATTTATATTCAGTTTAACTCTTCAGTTTTTAAAAACCCTGCAAATAAAGTGTTTAATGTTTGGAACAAATGAAGATCAATGTGTCGTAACAAGAATCTGCATCTCCAGCAGGTAAGATAGTTCTTCTCACACATGTCACACGTATACAAATATTTTCTGCTGATTATTCAGTCTGCAGAGATGCAATATTCATTTTACTGCAGGAAGGCAGTCAGTGCATAACAATGAGATTGGCTAATGAAATCGAGCGTCAAGCTGAAACACATACATATTAAACTGGTGTCTCAATGTCATTTGGCTTTTGCATTATTTGCTCTTTTTTATGTCTCATTTTTCCTTCTGTATTTTACATTAATTTATTTACATTGAAGAATAATGAAAGCCTATTGCTGTTTGCATCTGTATTTGAATTAACTGTGTTGGTGAGAGAAGCCATTGCTAAATTATTACCATTTGCATAACGATTTGTATTTTTATGAACATTTTCATCCAAACAAATTACTTGTCTGACATATTATAATTGATATAAAGCATTTATAGCAATGGTTTATATCAATCATGTATCGCTTGGCATAGCAATGCCAAGATATACATAAATTCACCTGAGACATCTCTTCTGTAAATTACATTGTTTTCCCCTGGGTCTGAGATATTTTTATTCACTGAAGCTGAGTGATACTAAGTCATTTGGTTGCTTCACACTAAGAAAGCATTTGCAAAAGATGCTGTTCCTTAAAATGAAAGAACACAACATAAGTAAAAGAAAAAATGGGATAATTAAAGCAATTTCATAGTCTTGTAAATTTTCAACAAAGACCTTAAAGGTTGTCAATTTCTCATAGCATTTGTTGTAGAGTCCCATCACAGAACAAAACAAAAAATAACTATTATTAGCATTAAATTGTGTTTTAAAAAGGAACAAAATTATTTTAAAAAATAGGAAAGAATATGTAATTCTTCTTGTTCTAATTTCTTAGAAAAAACAATTTAAGATATTTTATTCCTAGTTTTATGGAAATACAGATATTTTAGTTTTTCTTACTTCATTTATCTACTTTGATCATGTTTATATATAGAAAAAAAAAAGAAATGTCAACCTAGAGAACTCTATAAATATTATTAAAAGACTGAGCAAAAAATATTTAACACCTCCAGGGATCCTCTTACAATAAAAAAAATGATTTAGTAGCTGTTAAAATTTGTATGTAAAGTTCATTATCAGGTGTTGCATTTCAGAAGGTCATAGCTGCTGTGGTAGAGCGGTGGCAGCTGGATATTGTCGATGCTCTCAAGTTGCCATTTTTCTTCCCTGACAAAGACTCCATGTGCCGAACCAGAATCTCAATGATTTCCTATGATTTTACAATTCAGCGTTCACCTTGACACAACCTCCATGTCTACACGAGTGCTGACAAAACAGATCCTCTGTGCAGGGTGGCAGAAACGCTCTTTCAGATAAGCTGCATTTCTTATCGCCAAGAACAGTAATATTTTTACAAGCACTAACGCTATTCAAGTGTTAGAAAGAAAATCTTCAAGTTCAGTTTGTTTGTGGAATTATGAATGTTTTTTTTTTTTATTATTCATCAGCAAGCTCAAAGCAGAGTTTCATTTTGATAAAATGTCTTCCAAAACAGAGAATGAGTCAACTAGTCATAAAAATACCTCAACTTCGAATTCTTTTTAAATTTACAATCCCTCGCACAAATCAGCTTTTATACTTACATTTTCAATAAGGGCAAAGGAAATCCATTAGAGAAGCTTAATGTTGGTCTCCTTTTTCCATTCTGAATCCAGTTTTGGTATGCATTTGGGATTTTGGTACAGCTGAAACACTCAGTTTTGCCTAAATCCTATTCGTCTGACTTACAATATCATCTTCAGCTGAGAATAAATTGGTTATAATATTCAGGAACAACACAGGAAACCGCCAAGGCTCGGGTCAGTCTCAAACAGAAAGCTGCTCGGACAGCAGTCTCCCTGTTCTCAGAGAAGTCAGGAAAGCATCAATATTCACTGAAAGGGCACCAACTTCAAAAGAAAAATGCATTCTTAATTCATTCTTAATGTAGAAAAGCAGAAGGTAATATAAAACTTCTGTCTTAAACCCTTGCACCGCTTCTACTACATTCAGATGAAAGGGAAAATGTTGGCTTTAGAGAATGATGGGACTGCTGTGAAGACAACCATTTTGCCTTTGACATTTTGATTAATCCCATCTGCAGCACTGCAGATCACATTGCATCTTAGCAGGGTCTGTGACATAAAGAGGCAAGTTATTTCACTGCGACTGTCTTAGGTTAGTCAGTGAACAGGTCATCAATATCATGACAGTTCAAGACGTCTTTATGTGTTGCACATATTTTGTGGGTCAGAAATCTCGGTGTTCTGGAGGGGAGGTAGAAACATTTCATGCTTCAGACAGATGATCTGCAATTGTATTCTTATTCATTCCTATGGAATATTTAGTCATAAAAACCCACAGTGAACAGCCATGGATGATTAACTGCTTTTAAAAAGGCAGAAAATAACTTGCAATTTATCTCTAAAAGCTGTAATAAAAATTTAAAAAAAAATCTAATGGAGGAGGTATGCTTCTACTTATACACAGTGGATCTTTTACACCCACTCACTGTGTCTTGAGGCAGCAATTACATTTTTAATAGCATCTAAGACACATTTGTATAAAAATGAAGGGAAGTCACTCAAATTTAATTTTAAAACAAAGCCAAACAATGGCTCCAACCTCATAAATTACTCCTGTTGGCTCACAGTAATTTATCTTCAAACACCCTGTGGTCAGAAAAGTTTTCCTTCCCATCCTCCTGAGATTTAATATGCTCTGAAGGTTTAACACTAATTCAAAGAAAGATGTGAATTAATTAGATGTACAAAAATGAGAGCAAAGTGTAATGCAGCACAAACTAATTTCATAAAGGAGGACTTTTTGAGTCTTAACCTAATTGGAAATTTTAATCCTATGCAGAAATTAGAGTTTAAAATTAGATGTTCAGCATAGTGAAACATTTCTATTCAGCTGTTACATTCTCCAATTTAACAAAGCAGATAAGTTTTTTCCTCACACTAAATGATAAGAAGTACTTAAGAGAACAAAAAGGTAGAAAGGGATTGCAAGCTTCCAATGTATTCAAACATTGAATGTATAAGACGATACTTGAGTTTTATGGCATCACCGCTGACGACCTGAAAACATATGCACACAAATGCACTTACTAAAAGAGTACTGTAGTTATCTGGGACAGCTTCATGAAAATTTGTCACACAGAAATGTAGTGTGGACGATTAGTGAAGACTGTATTATCACAATTACATCTACTGATGTTATCAGTGTTAACAGAAAAACACGAGAAATTTACATACACCAAGATTACTAGGGCTGGGAAATGAATTGATAATGTATATGACAATAGAAAAAATATGTCAAATAGAATATTCAATAATTTCACTGAACTCCACTCCACAACTGCACAGCATTCTGGGAGATGTAGGCGGCTTAGCCGCTCATCCTCTAACAGCCAGCTAAGAAAAGTTGACGCCATCAACTAACTCACTCTCTCTGTGGTTACCTAGCAACAACCTGTTAAGTAATATCTGCACATCAGCAGTTTCAGGTTTTGTCACTGTGTCACATACCTGCTTAGAAATAAATACTTTAAAAAATGTATTTAGCAGTACTTAACATTTAAAACAAAAAAAACACCTAATCAATAATTATTTTTAATCAACTGATATGAAACTAATAAACCTAATAAGGCTGTAATACAACAAAATGGTGAAAAAATGAAGTGCTGTGAGTACTTGCAAAATATGAGAGTCAACAGCTTATTCAAACCAAAGGTAAAAGTCAATTCTGGAGCAGCCATCTGACCAAGAATTATATGCACTCTGTTTAGCCATCCTCAATTGGTCTAAAATCTTTCAACAAAAAAAAAAGAAAAAAAAAGCTTGGGTTAATGCCATCAAAAAGCCACCCACATTTTAAACATCAGCCCCATTAGCACAGCGGGTAGAGCTCCATCTCAAATGCATCAGTGGTTTAAATAAAGCCTGCAACATGCATCTCCAGGCGGAGATAAATTAAAACAGTGAAAAAGTGTAATCTCCCTGACATATTCCTAATAATCCACATCCTGTATGCTCTGGCTCACCCAATCATAAAGTGTCAACACTGACCTACAAAGCACAACTCCAGTCAAGCCTAACAGGTTTAAAAACATCAATCACAGCAGACAAAGAGGAGGACATCAAATTATGCAGCACTAACCTTCAGGGCTTGCATATAAAGACTATAGATTTATTAATGCCTGTGTGTTGAGAGCTTTTTGTCCTGTTCCTTACAGAAAGCAGGCTGCCAGATTGATGAACCTGCAGCTCAGCAGGAGAGCAGCATCTTTGATTAATGAGTGCAAACTTGCAAAGAGGATAGGAACAGCAGTGGCAGGGTGAAAATGAGTGAAACACAATTATTACCAGACCCACTTTATTCCTCGAGCCTTCTATAAAGACCAAAACATATATGAAAATATGATGTTTTCCTGTTCAACAAGAGGATGCAATAGCTGAAAAAATACATGTAACTTGATTTTAACTCTCAAAACTAAGAAAAACAAGGACAATTGTTCAATAACGTAAATAAATTTTTGTTTATATATGTGTATATTCAATTTAAACAGACTCATTTTAATTTAAGCCCAGATCATATCTGCATAAAACATGTTTTATATGCAGAAAAGAATTAACTACAGAACTTTAAGGAAAAATTTTACATCAGTTTCCTTTTGTTTCACAAGCCTCATATAAAGGAGGGAATGACAACACTGCATCTGCAGTGGACAAGGACGTGTGTGTTGAATAAACATGAGGCAAATGCAGTGACCTTCTACCTGTATGTTGATTTACTGGCAGCTACTAGATGCATGCATAGCACATCTAGGATGTGATCTGATTTACCCAACAGCCCTGGCTACTGAAGTCATTTAAAAGATGAACTTTAAAGCAACTAATGCCGCCTGCCATTTCACTGAGGCTGCAAATGTGCTGATGCCGTAGATACATACACATGCGCTCATTACTGCCCCTCAACTAGATATCCAGATACACATCAGCTCTGATGTGCAGCAAATAAAAGATGAAAAACAAAGCAGCCTAAGTGATATCTGAAGCCCTGCAGAATAAGCTATGCAGATTCTATTGACAGGATTATTTTCAAGGAGATTTGTATATTATTGTGCTTTAATCCTCAAAAAAAAAAAGCTGAACGTGTATTCATAACATTAAGGTCCAATCTTACAAGTGAAATTATGAACACAGATTGGATCTGCAACAAGTTAAATGGATTTTCAAGGCATTAATTTCCACGCACTGTTAAATGACCTAAACACAATAGTGTGTTTAGGTCACATTAACTACATGAGGTAGTGCAAACTTTCTGTGAACGCAGAGATAACGTGAAGATGTACTTGAGGTAATTCCAACAAAACACCAAGTTTTACACCATTGATAAATCATTTACATATAAAAAACAAACAAAAAAAAACATGAAGCTACAATCTTACGGCAATTAAACATGTGGTTGTTAGATAAATTTACATAATCACATTGGTAACTGTGACCAAAAGTGACATAAAAAAAATCTAGTGTTTAAGAAAATAGGATAAAAATTACACAAATGTAAAGTGTGCTAGAGGCCTCAAATCAATGAAGCAATGCTATCACTTCCATAAAACAACCAGTAAGCAGTATATGAATGAATATGCACTGCATGTGTGTATGTGTTTGTTGGCAATAGTTTCTGTAAAAATATGTTTATGGTATGAAGGGAACATTTGCTAAGTAGCAGAGCATTGGAAAGTATTTTAGAGAGAACTTTCTACTAAAGGAATTAGACCATGAGGATACTTACTGAGACTTATCTACCAACTCTGAATAGAAGTATCCAGAGATTACTTACTTAATATGTTTCTAGCAACCCAGAAGTCCACAGGATACTTACTTATTTATACTTATTTAGCAATCCAGAACAGGGTCAAGAACTTCTACCACCCCTGAATAGGAGTATCTAGTTTATTTACTTGGAATGACATTATAAGCCTTTCCTTCTTTTGCTCTTTCTTTTTGATTTGTTATTTTGTTTGCATTTCCTTTTAATTTCTGTAAAGGACTTTTTTTTTGCCTTGTTGCTGAAAATGTGCTATATCATTAAATTACCTTTACTTTGTTCACATTAAAAGGTTTTCGTGTAGTTCCTTAGGAGTCGGTGGAATCACAACATGTTGAATATCCTTCCACAAACTCCTCACAATAGTTCCCTGAAATTTTAGACCATTTATTCTGACAGAATAAATGAACACCACATGAGGACAATCAGGACATCAAATTTTTTCTCCTGACTGGAACCATGGCTGATGTTTCCTGTGGAGCTCAAACTAGCATGTAATTGAAAGTTGATGTGGTGCCCTTTTTATGCTTGAAATACACATAGACTCAGAATCGGACCTGTGAAGGTCCACAACTTTCTTGCAAACTCAAAAGTTGTGAATTTATCAAAAGATTTCACAAATGACTTAGCAACATGACAATCTTTAACTTCTGTATTTGTAAAAGTCATGAATATCTAAAAATAACACACACACCAATATATATATGTACATACATATATTTCTGCCATTCAGCAAAATAAATCAATAAATAAATTAAGAATTAGAAAACCCAACAAACACTATTTGTTCATCCAGTCCTTTTAAATCCATTGGAGGACCTCAAAATAACGTGATTTCACAATAAGGCTTTACATCCGGACATAATGATACAAGTAATACATAAGAGCTCGAGCTGCACAGATGCTCGAGGCAACTCCTAAAATACAAAGCTGGACGTTTTCAGTTAGTCTTTTCTAACCAATATTTAACGCCGCGAGGAAACAATTCTTCAAGTCAAAACTAAAGTCAATTTAAAAACGTCTTCTGTCAGTTGAAAGTAACCGCTGTTTGGAGCAGCTCGCACCGGAGTCGTGTTTTAAATCATGACTCGAGCCAGAGCAGTTACACGAGGTAAGAATTTTGTATCCAAGTGCCTCTTTCCACATGACAACAGCTGTATTCTAAACAAACTTTAGCGCAACACAACGCTTTACATTGGTAATTACAACTTCTTTATTTTATTATTATTATTGTTATTTTATTTTAAAATCGTCACGTTAAACTTCAGCTGCGCTACAAAAACGAGGTAACTGCGGAGAAGGATGCTTTTGGTGTGATGAATTCAGAGCGTTAGCTGCTGCTCGCCTTGGCCAGAGACCAGACGTTTGTCACCACACAGCGATAATAAGAGCAACTGGAGCCCGGATTACACACCAACAGAAATACATTTCTTAAAAAGGGAAGAAAAAAAACGCACACTTACTTTCCAGTTTTGAGGCTTTTTTTTCTTTTTTGGGGGGAGGATTCGCTGCTAAAACGGGTGCTGGTTATTAACTGAGTCCGATTGAAGAGTGTTCTGTTACCGCAGATTGAGCGAATGAAGCGAAGTGACGTCAGAAAAGGTTGTTGTTTTTTTGTTTTTTTTACAGCGCGAACTTCTGATCCCAGATCTGTAGCTGCACGAACAATCTGTCTCCTTCTTATGGCATGCAGTTGTAGCTTTTAATTGAATCGAGCTCTTCAACATGCAGCTTTACGTGGAGGTATTTGTGGCTTAAATACTTGGCCAAAAAATGGATTTTAAACTGAGCAATGTTTTGAAATAGACAGTACTCATGTAAATCACTACTTCAGCATGTTTTGTTTTGTTTAAAAGCAAAAAGCAAGTCAAAATGTATTTAGTAAAATGACTACTTTTTACCAAATACAATAAAGGAACCATTTTTTGGTTACTTTAAGTGTAACACTTACCTTTAGGGGTTAAGTGTGATGTCATCACAGCTGACATAAACGTTGTTAAACTTTATGTCAGCTGTGTGTGCTATGAATACAATACATCTCTGATTAGTATTTAAATTTCTTACTATTTTCTGATGTTGCTGAATATTAATAGAATGATCTATTTTTCAAATATTATGGCTCAGCAGTGAGTTGTCCAGTTTTCTATTGTCCTGAGTGGAAAGTGACCTGGAAACTTGCATTAATTCATTTATTTGTATAATTTGTGTAATGTATTTTAACCCCATCAAAACAATGTTCTTTGAAATATCTGAAATATCGGTTGTGGTTGAGAAGAAGTCCTTCAGGTCACCCGACATATATTCGTAACTATTGAAAGAACCTTAAAATTGAAATATTCTCAGTATTATACCATAAACTGCTTCCCATATCATGGGAAAAAAACGAGAGGTGATTCCAAACCTCTGGATTGACCATTGAAGGAGTCCACTAACAAGTTCATTGGAACCTTAAAAGCAGCAGAACTTTTTTTGTTTGTATTCTTCCCCAGATCTGTGCCTTGAGACAATTCTGTCTCAGAGCTTTACAGACAATTCCTTTTACTCTATGCCTGGTGTTTGCACTCTGACCTCCACTGTCAGATTGTGGCTGTATAGAGACAGGTGTGTGCCGTGCCTAATCAAGTCCAATCAACTGAATTTATCACAAGTCCACTCCATTTAAAAGGGGAGTTATATAAAATCAACTTTTTTGAGCTTCAGATTATGTTATTGCGTTACTCTCATCATTAACATATCAAAATGTTATTTTGATTAATTCCTCCATCTTAACACTCACGCCCTCAGAAAGTACAGCGGAAAATCAAAATGCGAACGTAATGCTGCATAGTAAAGGATTTTTTTCAAAAAAATCCTTGAATCACCCATGGCAACTATGTGAGGTTGCCTGAACATTTGCCCACATAAAGCATTTAAGAAATAACAGAGTAATTGTGTGATGTATTTCATTAACAGGAATTTAAAATTTTAGTTTATGAAGTCAGAGTCTTCTGAAATATATTTAGTGTTTTTTTTCTCTTTTAGGATTCACGGCAAAATGATACAAAATATAGTTTCTTCATTCGTATTGTACCATTATATAATGTAGCCATTGCTTAAAAAAAAAAAAAAGTAAATCTGATCATTGTTTGTAGATTTAAGGACTGATTTGCTTTTGAAATATCCTGTGTTTTATTTATTTTCCTCTCTTATGTGTTGTTACAGTGTTTGCATTCACAGATACCACAACCTGCACTGTGTTCATCATGTATTGCTGAAAACAAGCACACAGAGCGGAAACGGCAATGATTTCACTCAGGCCAAAACATTCCTCGACCATTAATTGTGAGGAATCAATAGTTTAAAAAGGTCAAAGCGGTTTCAGATCAAATTCTATGTAACATATTTGTGTATAGTGGTACTAATACTAAGCATGCTAAATTATGATACATGTTAATGCAACACAATGTGCAGGTTCCCTCAAATGTACATTAAATTCTAGTTATCTTTGACATGCATGCCCATGTCCATATTAATTAGTGTCAGTCACAGTGTCCCCACCTTCTGTGACTATATATATATATATATATATATATATATATATATATATACAGATGTGTAAAAGGAAATTCATTTGCTGATATCAGAGGGAAAATAGGCCATCCTGGCTTTTGTGAAGAGACAACAGTCCCGTGTGTGGCAATAAAACATGGATGTCCCAGTTATAGTGAGAAAGGCAGAAATTTGAGAGTATATATATATATATATATATATATATATATATATATATATATATATATATATATATATATATATATACATACACATTCCAGAAGACGTCAGTCTTCTGGAATGTGTGGAAACAAAAGTAAATTAGGAAAACATATTTACATTTTTTCTTTATTTTTTTTTGTTGATGAACAACAAAAACATTTAATTCAAAAAATATTACGTTATGGTCAAAAACTCCTGACTTCAAAGTTCCATTGACTTTGAGGTCAGTGACCTCTTCCAACTGGAGGGTATGCAACAAAGGATCATTGTGAGTTTTGAGAGTTCATTGACATATTATTCTTTTCTTATTTGCTTAAAGTATATGCCCACTCTCTACTCCAAACATATCTTCATCCCACGTTAAGATCAAATTATAACAAAGATAAAACACACTTCTTTAAATTTTATGTCAGCTGGGATGATCATTTACCTACAACATGTATCTACATCATGTATATTTCACCTTTAAACATGAGTAAACAAGTAAATCCATTTTAGAATCACAAATAGAGTGATGCAATTCCCTTCTTCAAAAAGCAGATTCAACATAAATGTGTTTGTGTCTCATCTGGTGGTCAAACATTGAGATTACCTAGCACACACACACACACACACACACACACACACAAAACACACGCACACACCCACACACACACACACACACACAACACACACGCACACACCCACACACACACACACACACTATGAATAAACAATAACAGAATTTTTGATTCACTTCAGTCATTCACCACATGATGAGAAAATCACAGAAAGAGGCTGTGGCCTAGATTTAGGGAGACATTTTTCAGATGAGCAGATGAGAGACCTCATGGAAAGCTAAAATTAGATATTTCTAAAAAGCAATGATAACAAAAACACTTCAAACACACTTCTGTTAGTTCTGTTTCATCTCAATTCAGGCAGAGATGTAAACAGATGCACTGGCCTTCTGGAAGGAGTGCATTGTTCCACATGACCCAAATTTAGATCAGATAGGTTGTGTTTATCCATTTCATCTTATTTATCCATCCACCTAGTTAGGACTGTTTAGAAGCCAGTCGACAGTAGAAAAGTAAGCACAAAACAATGACATTGTCATTATGAAGGTGAGAGTAATTGATTTGACAAGTTGCACATACAGTGCCAGTGACGTTCATCAATAGCAGCAGACAGGGTGAATGAGCAGATTTGTAAGTTCACTGCTGTGGAACTGAAACTCAGTGACATATTTGAGTCACAAAGTCTCCATAATAATTTCACAATCTACATTCCAATCAGTTGTTTGGGAATAAAGCTAAAAGAAAGATATTTCCTGTCATACCATCATTAATGTGTGGAGTTCATTCAAAGAGTCCTGAACGCATGTCATCAGGAAATGGCTCACAACACACAAAACAATCTCATTGAATGAAATTCAATGAAGGACTTTATGAAGGACTTTTTTTTTCCAACTTTATCTTTGTTGATTCTCAAGGAAGTATCATTCACTTAATCTTAGCCTCTACATCACAAAACGAACTTCAATATTTAAAATAACGTGGACAAGTACACCATTACATTATAACGGTCAAAACAAAAAGGCAACTTCAGATCGCTGAAAAAAGAGAATAATGCAAGGAGTAACAGAGTGTGAAAGAAGAAAAAAAAGAAAAGAAAAAATAAAGTTAGAAATGTAAAAATCAAACTACAAAAAACAAGAGTACTGCAATGAAAAACATAGTATTAAATAATTATGAAATATATCTATTATAGGAGAGTGAATTATTGAGGAGATTTCATCAAGTTTGGTCTGAAAAATGAAATCAAATCTATTAAGATTTACATAGTCTACCCAACTCTGCCACCACCGACAGTTGTTCAGTCTTGTCTTTTAGAGGCTGTTACTTTTCCCATTTTATACATGTTAAAGGTTGTCCATCCAGCCATCTAAAGTTGGTTTGTCTTGTGATAATCATTTTCTTGTAATGTTTTTCTTACTTGCTATTAATAAAAGTCATCAGATATTTGTTTCTTTTCAAAGCTTCTTGGGGAATTATGCCAAAATACATAAGTTTGATCTCCAAAGAAATGTTCTATTTGAAAATATTTTGTAAGGCACTAGTTATCTCTTTCCAGTCGTCTTTTATAGTTGGACAGTCTCAGAAGACATAGTGGTTTGCATTTTGGTTTCTACATTTTCTCCAACATGTAGGAGGATTTTCATTATAGTGGAATTTCTGAGCAGGTGTGATGAAGAATCTCACCAGATTTTTCCATCCAAATTCTTGCCATTGTAGAGATTTATGATATGTCCATTGGTATCTCAGCATTATTGCCCATTCCTGTTGTCAGTTAAATTCCCCTCGCTTTCCCATCTTGTTTTTCAGATCTAGATCTTAGTTTTTTTAAGATGACAATTTTTCTGATTGATAAATGTGTGTTGGAGCAGGGATGCACCTGAAAGTTGCATGATTGTATCTCTGGAGGACAAGTCTGGGGCCCTGCTTTAGAGACTGTACAAAGTAGAATTCAATCTTATGAAATGTAAAAAAAAAAAAAAAATTCTGATTAATGAATGACAAACTTAACAGAATTTAAAATCCAGACATTGTACAGGCAAATAGTGATTGTCTTTATTCATTCATAGGTCATATATTTCCAATTTCCAATTATAAGATTGCATTTCACTTCTAAAAAAACAAAACAAAAAAAAAAAAACCACACAAAAAAGCAGGACTAACAAAAATGGCACACAAATAGATGTAAATAATTTCCATAAAAGTCCACAACAGATTGAAAGTCTGAAAGGTTCCCTTGCTTTATGAAGGAAATGAGAAATGCTTGTGTGAAGCCCAAACACCAGCCAGGATCAAAAAGCAAGCATAGTAATAGAAGGCTCTCATCCACCATTTAATCTCCCAATACTGTGAATAAAAAAATACAGAACATGCTTAACCACTGAACATGTCAGATTTTTTTTTTACTCAGAATGGCTTAGCTTTTAAATCAGAAAAAAATAATAATTTCAAATCAAATGTATTTGTATATAATTAACACAATGTATGAAAAAAGCTGTGACGATTCTGATACAGGACTATTTTAAAAATTAGCCTTTTGGTTGCAGCAACATTCACCTTGTATATGCATGCATAAAAGAACCAGACATCAGCTCATGGTTCAGCTGGGCTCTTGCTGTGATTTTGGTAGTTTTATCTGTCAATTAGAGCTTGTGACAAAGTTGAGCGCCTTAGAACACTGGCTGATTTATTTTAAACTTAATATGTTCAAAACATGTTAAAAGATTTTGAACTATTTAAACCAGCATGTCTGTACGTTTTCAAAAGAATTGGACAAGTTTGGACTTATTCTTAAAAAATAAAAAATAAAAAATGATTCAAATGTGCAACAAGTAGCTTGGATGCTTGACACAGCAGAGCCAGTGACTGTAAGGGAGGAAATAAAGCACTTTTATTTGATATTAATATATCTATATATCTGTGTTGGTGGTAAAAATTACCCTCGTTGACTTCCTTTAGTTTTGTGTTGTAGAGGTTTGGAATGTTCTAATGTGCAAAGCCCTCTAAAAATAGATTAGCTGGAAAAAACAGACATGAAAAATTGTAAAATGTTGTTCATCTTGTAGAAATGCTAATTCTGGGGAGATATAAAAGTAAGCTTACAACTGACAGAGAATTTGTAATCCTAAAAATACCAAGGCATTTTGTTGTTTAGAGACATCTGATTCGAAGATCTGTGGTTAACACGAACCAGTTTAAAAAAATATAACTAGAATTAGTGCTGATCATTAAAAAAGCAGATAATTCTGTTATCCTGAGTGAGAAGGTTAGTAGCTTGGCACCAGTATTCTTCCAATGAGAACACTTTGTTCTGGGTCCAAATCAGTGACATGTTAATCCAAATTACTTAATCTGATTTTAGAGTGGACATGTCGTTGCATAAAGCACACAGCCAGTAATTCTGGATATAAGGGAGAACGTTCTCTCAAGGAACAGTGTCAGTTTCCTCAGCCTCCACCAGGCAAGACTGGTCTGAATCCAGGACTCGGAACGGGGGGTGGTACTCGAACGCTGTGATCATAGTTGAACCGAAGCTGTGCTTCTGGTGCAGAAACCAAATCACAGCAGAGACTCCCACGATGGCCACCACGCTGAGAATGACCAGAGCTGAGACCGTCGCACTGGGTTCTGAGTGGGAGAAGAGACAATGCACGGAAGGTCTCGACTCAGAAGGCAAAGATCACAGAGGAATACACAGAGAAACAACAACAGAAGGCTCAAAGGTTCACTTACTGGGTCTGGGCTGCTCCACTTCTGAAACAGCACAAAAAAAAAAAGGAAAATGAGGTGAGACAATGAAACAATACATACTATAGATTCAAAGCTCACACACTGAGTGCATATAATATTACAGTAGTTTGTAAAAGTATGCACACCCCTTGATCTTTTTCCCATTGCAACGAGTTAAGCTTTGTCTACTTCATTCGGGTTTTAGGTGATAGAGCACAACAAAGTAGCACAATTTTTTTCTAAAAACTAAAAATTGTAAATAAATAAATTCAATATGATTTCAAAACTTTTTTGCAAAAAAAAATTGAAACAGTAAAGAAAAAGATTGCAGTAAAATGTAACATGTTACCTTTGTGAAATAGTGTTTGGTTGTAGGCCAAAAAGTTCAAGTTTGGTCTCATCAGCTTCCACATATTTGCTCATTGACCTACATGGCTTGTTGCAAACTGAAACCAATACACTATAAAGTTCACTCACCTGAGCAGTGGAGCTCTCCAGCTCCTCCAGGTATCTCTGGAGGAGATGAAGGTTTCTAGTAAATGACACCCTTGCACAGCCTGTCAATTATTGTAATCTACCATGTCTTGGTAGGTTTGATGTTAAAGTGCATAATAACTGCTTGCCCTAAAACAAATGTTGGTGAGCTATGTAAGCTCCAAGCAATCAAGATTCTGTCAGTCGAACATTTGGCGATGCTTGTTTAATGTAGCAGAAAATAGCTTATGGTTGATGTTCAGGGAAAATAAGCAATCGCAACAAATTTTTATTGACAAACAAGTGACACTGTCATTGTAACATTTACCAACACAACCATTAACAAGCTTTCCTGATATCATAGAAAATGTGAAAATCTTTTGTAATTTCTTTCCCTTCACAATTATAGAAAAATCCACTTTGTGGTTCTAATGTGACAAGATGGGGAACAAATTCTGTTCATTAACTGTAAAAACATCTTCATGACAAAGGCAGAAATATTCACCGATGTAAAATATTTTGAAACTTTTCGTTTCACAGAAAATCGACTCACTCTGAGGTGTTTCACAGACCACTCCGTTCTCCACGTCATCCTGGCAGCTCACGTTTTCCCACCTTCCTGAGATGCTGTGCAGAGCCACACAGATATCCCCCCGTGGTATGTCAGCAGGATAAGGGCTGTAGTCCCAGTTGGTGAAGGTTACAGACCTGTTGTTTGACCACTTCATGGTATCATCTGAAAAAAACAGTCAGCACTTGTTTCTGTCACTTTTGGGAGTTTCTTATTTTCTAAAAGTTTCATTTGGAAATGGGAGAAAATGCATTTCAGAAGGCCTGGCTGTAATGTGTCACCTGTTGTGTGTCTCGGGAATATCTCAAAAGCAAAAACATCCTTCCTTGTATTTTTTTAACCTCAGCAGTTCTATTGTCTAACACCAAAGATAAACTCTAAACAAGTCTTGGCTTGCATACTTTGACATAATATAAACCGCCCACACCAACCAGTGTTTTTTACATGACCCATACCATCTATGTTGTACTTCATTCCCAGCCAAATGTTGACATTGCCACCTTTCCACACTTCAGGACTGTATCTCATGACAAAATCATTTTCTTCAGCAGTGTGGATCGTCAAAAGGCCTAAAAAAAAAGCACAATGATGGCATCATAGTCATAGACATTAATGTAAAGTATCCCATTTACTTGGTGATAAGCAATGAAATAATTGATATTATCAGAAGTACCAAATCCTATGCAGTGAGAAAGTGCCGCTTCAAATGTGTAGCTTTTAATTTTGTCTTCTTCTCCATGGACAAAGTGGTAACATCTGTCTCCAAAGGGAACCCAAGTGCGTCCATCAGCTGGGCATTCTGAAAAACAAAACAAAAAAGAAAAAAAAAACCTATTGCTTTAGATGATTAAATTTGAAATGGTTAGATCAAGGTTTAATTATTTTTAGAATGTTCTAGTCAAATTCAGAATCTACAACCAACTGCACATTTGTGGCAACACTCATGGATTGATGCTGAAATTAATTCGATGCACTACTTTCTACTCATCAATCATACAGCTGCCATATATTTCAAGTTGCAATATTAATGTTTGAATGCAATATTTAGTAGGATATCATAATTCAAGTGCTATGCCCATCATATTTCTGCCTTAAAAAGAGTCAGGTAGATGTAGGTTAATCGGTGTAATCAATGCAACACTCAGCAACTATGTGTTCTCAGATCATGTATCTTAAGCATATTACATAAAGTTTGAATAAATTACATCAAAGTTTAAAGCTCTAATGTGACAAAATGTGAAAAGGTTCAAGGGGAATAACTACTTTTGAAAGACAGTAGTTAATTCAGTGAGTTGCCAATGCACTTGATGAAAGTTATCACCAGGGGTGGGCACCTCTACAGAGGCGGAGATTTTGGAGGTTCACTGGTCTAATGCATGTAGGTGGATGCTAACGCAATGATCAAGAGAAAAGACATCTGCAGTAAACTTTAAAAAAAGCAACTGTGGCTGCCCATCAGTCTGAGAAAGGTTGTAGGTGGAAGTGTAAAACCTTCCAGACAGCTGCCAATCTTCTCATGGCTGGACATTACTGCAAGTTCACCATAAAGTCAGATTGGCAATAAACAGAAAACTGGAAAAATCCCAGGATTTGCTTCTCAGGCGCAACAGAGCTCAACTTGTTAATTACTAAAATATGTGACAACAAAACTATGTAAAAAAAAACCCCAACAAACTTTTGCATAACTTTTGTGAAAGGTCACCAGCAAATAAAATACTCTCCGTCACGCTCTGTATGGCCATGTGCAGAACATGGCAGTGCAGATTAATATCGCAAAGCTGGACTCTGAAACAAAAGTAAACAGACATGTACATTCATTTATTTTGGACAAGAGAAGGAGAAAGGCTTTCCACATCACACAGCTCCAATAGCATGTAGGCGTGTTTAAGTATAAACATGTCATAAAAAACTGCAAACAAATTGAATAAATACTGGATTTTTCACTATGTGAATGTTAGCTGACTTCCTGTAAGTCATGTTCAATGACAAAAAATAAATTGGCTATCAGAAATGGTTAGACACATTTCTGTGCTACTGTGTGGACTGTGGACTTTGGGGACAAAGGGAGAGACAAGAACTTTAGTTGTCCAGTTATTCACTTAGGGCAAATTTCACAGACCAGAGGCGAGAGATCAGGAGAATTATCAAGATGAAGTTGATGTTTGCTGCCTTCAGCACTGAAAGTTTGGATGTGTGCTCGTTATGCATGCGACGATATGAAACCAACGCTGCTTTTTACACAACAAATCTAAGGGCCTCAAATAATCCACGTTTCTCTGCTCTGAAATATGTGCTAAAGTTTCATAGAAATACATAAAAGGAAATCTCAAAATGCCAGGCAACCAGCAGCCATGTGCAAAATAAATAAATGACAAAAGTGATTGGAAATACGTATATCTACACATCACTCCAGTACTGTTGAGCTTCAAACAGGCTGCAGACATTTGAAATTTTAGTGCTTGAATAACCTTGAAACTGCTGCAAAAGTTGCTGTGACAACTGAGAAAAATATAAAAACATAATACCAGGAATGCAGGAATATGTGTGAAAAGACACAGAGGAAAGGACACCCTATACAACACTAGTTCCCTTAAAAGTGTCTTAATTGCAGCTTTAGACTGAAAATATTTTTTTTGTGGAATACATTAGTACAGATAAGTCACTTTCACCCCTTTTCCAATATTATTATTATATCATTATTTGTCCAAGAAGTCCTTTTGAGAACTGAATTTATAAATGTGTAGACCTGGTCAAGACAACAGCCACAAAAATCAGAAATAAATAAAATCCAAGAGCTGCACCATTCCCTCATCACTGCATTTTTTCCAATGATACTATTTTGCCAAAACATATCAAAGGCCCTTAGAACAATGAACAGAAAATTGGAGGCTGCTTGGAGATCCATGAATATTTGCAATATGAGCTCTACAAATCAGGCCTGTAACAGTTCTGTCACAGCTTACGTAACCTTTTAAAGTTAAACTCTACACCTGCTTCTGTCAAGTATTCAATATTAACCAGAAGAATAAATACAAAACTCACAGTTGTTATGGCTTGTACCTTTCCTTTCCAATTACTTGGATTAAAGAGATAGAAATACACCCAAACATTTTCCCACAAGCATATTTACAGGAACTATTGTTCCTCTTTCCAGTCTTCGTGTGTTGAAAACAGTGCCCTAACTACAAAAACTGCTGTCGTCGTCAGTTTATTGGTATATTGTTTTGTATTGACTTTGAAGGTATACTTTTAAACAAATGGTTCAGATTAGTTTGGTTTCGCAACACGACACAGACAACATTCTGCGTCCTGAATACGCGCGGGGTCACTTAAAGGCTGGAGAGCGAACAGTTTATTTCCACATTTCCTTAACTCCCTGCGATAATGTGTCCTAACGCGTCCTATCGACTGAAACCCCACAGAACGCAGCGAAGTTTAAATACCCTTTATAAAAAAAACAAAAGCAGGCCTAGTGGGTTTGAATATTCGGAAGGAAGCGGCGTCTTTCAACAACAGTGGCGTCTTTACTGCGGTTTTTACCCTCTCACCTCCAGCTGAAACCGTCCTCAAGTGAACACACAGGGCGAAAGCCAGGCAGCTGAGAAACAGCGACTGGGGACGACGGTCGCTTCTCTTTCGTGGCTCCATGACAGCTCCGCAAGCCCCGCGACCAGCAGCGCCTCCCGAGTTTTCCCCGACTGTTGCACGCGCGTCGACAACAACGTGAGCCTGAGATCCCACCCACGACCCACCTCCACACGGCGCAGGCGGTCCGCGAACACACCGCACACATCCACGGCCCAAATGTTTCATCTGGGCTGATTTGCAATATTTCGCGTCGAACGTGTAAGCAGAACTAGAAGGATCGTTTTTGTGATTTCTAACATTTAGGTTAAGTAACTAAGTCAAATATATGTGCAAATTTGTGAAAAAAGTTATTTATTTTTTTATATATATATAAAAAAAATATATAAAAATCAACAATGTTCCAGAATAAGATTTTGAACACAAAGGGATTTTGCACAGTTCAATCTGTAGATGGCGCTGCAGGCATAGCGATCAACACAGGATGACCACGTTGATACATTTATAGCCACTTGCAAAACATCTTCTAATCCATCCATCCATTTTCTTACACCCTTGTTCCTCGCGGGGCCGGGAGGTGCTGCTACCTCTTTGAAATGTATCTTCTAAATTCAGGCTGAAAGTGATTTGCATTAGGGAGTTTAATAGGCTCCATCTCGAAAGTTATTTACAATCTACCACCGCATAATTAGGTTAGAATAAATGCTCAAATAAACACAAGGGCCTTGTTCATACAGTCAATAAATCTATTGCATTTTGTAACTTTATAGCATAATCTCCTATATTGCTACTTGCTGTTGTCTATCTCCTCATAAAACAATATTCATACCCTATCCAGAATTAATCATTGCCCAAAATAAAGTCAGATTATTCATGTGGCGTCATTGTGCCCATTTATCACATGGTGCTGTGACAGTGCTGGCTAAATGATTTAAAAAGTATTTCTGCTGCCTTCATATTGAGTTTATAATGGAGGCACAGAAGCTTGCTATTAAGTGGGGGGAAAAAAAGAGGTTTCAACTTCACTGCCTGTAGGCGCATGTGGCACAAACACAGACAGCTGGAGCGTGAGTTTTGCTCCTCGTCTGGAGCTTGTGGCTTCCCGTAGGGTGGCACAACACTCTGCGGGCTACTATGAGGGGACCCATCTGCCATGGAGAGAGGCCTGCTCACAGTCGGGTACATCCAAGCAATTAGTGCCTCCGTGCACCCACCAATGCCATACCCTCCTGATACCCAGTCCCACCCCGTCCAGGCCACGCATGTTGTCAACAATCAAATGTGACAGTGTTGATAAAGTACTTACCAGGTCTTCACCTTCTGGGTTGAAAGCAAAGGGGATCATAAACATTTTTATTCAATTTCAACAAGCAAGCTGGTTTAGATTTTGCTCAAAGAATGGGTTCGTTGAATTTCTTTAACATATCGAGACAAAGCTGAGTTCAGCTTCTGATTAATATCTGAAGATTACATTTAAAAGGCACATTTTATCCTATTCCCTTTATATTAAAATGCCCTCACCATTCATACATTTATAGCCACCTGCAAAACATCTTCTAAGTAATTCTCTGTGTGATAAAATCTGAATAACTCAATGTGCCAGGCAGATTAAAGACTCAAATGTTTTTTTTTTCTTAGGTGGCATTAAACAGCTGCCACACTAACAGAATGGTAACAGGATTCTTTGTTTCTTCCTATTTTATTTTTAACTTAGCATGTTTGAAATATTAATTTAAGATACAACAAATTATTAGATATTTTTAAACAATTATTTCAGACTAGAGCTTTGCATTTTCAGTTTGGCTCATAAAGATCACAAACTTAATATCTAAAGCTAAATAAATAAAAATATATTTACTATATTTTGAATGTCCTTCACATTCATCTCCTCTCAAATTAATGTATGGTATAATGTACCAACTGATTCATGCACATTTGCAAAAATTAATGTAGCTCATCAGTGCTGCAAGAGATTAAAATCAGACAAAATTAAAAGCAATTTTTTTAATTTATTTAAAAAAGTTCAAAAACATTAACAGAATAAACAATGGGCAACAATCTAAAGGAAGAAAAAAAAATGTTTCAATGAACAAATGTAGTAAAGGAAAAACAAAGAAATTCATTAAACTGTACATACAAGTTACCTTTGGTAATAGTGGCACAAACAAAAAAGCAACCTTAAAACAGCTCTGTGAAAATCTCATATTTCCTCAATCTGTCTGTACAAAACTCTTAAGTTAGAACAATTTCATATAACTTAATGAATGTTCAATATGGTGGTTACTAATATGAGCTTTTCTCTCTTAAGCACCTCTTTCGCTCTTGACCCAGACCATGGCACTTGATTCAGACTCCACTAGCAGCATAAACCTCACTAAGACAGTATTACTCCTCAGTCTTAGGCATTACATAGAAATCTCAAGTATAACCATAGTTGGCCCTTGACATTTTAATATTTTAAATCCCAGCAAATTACAAGGGAAAATAACTCCTTTATATTAAAAAAAAGATACATTTTTTTTTTATTACCACAATGCTTTGTTGTTTCTATAAGTCTCAAAGAATTTCTAATGTCCTTCAGAATTACACAAGGCCAAAATAAAGATGCCTACAAAAGTCTTTAAAAAAATTATTACATTGAACTCTTGATGATCCCAAGATGTTATTCTGCTACAGTTCCCAAACAGTAAGGTGTGGGAACTTCATTACTCCTCTGGCTGTAATGTAGCCACATTTTATTAATATTTTCCAGTTATTTGTAATCAATAAGAGAAATTCACCATATTTAAATTAATTTGTCTTTCCCATTGTGATGAACGGCTGAAAGAAGTTGCAAAAAATAGTCTGCCTGAGAGAAGCACTCATCACAAACTTATTAAAAGTTCTCAGTCACACTGAGGGAAGTCAATAATTCTGGCAATGGCAATGTTTAGAATGCTTTTTTAATAATCAATATCAGAATATATCACTGCAAAAAAGGAGTAATTTATTCAAAGGAGATATTACACACTTTTACCAGGAGCAGCAAGAATGGCGGTCTATCCCAAAAACATCCCTTGGACTCAAGTTGTTGCAGTTTTCCCATTTTTTGACTATAACTTTGCATAATACAAAATTAACAGAGGAAAAAGTAAAAAGCTGCGGCCAGCTCCTGAGTGTGGCGTTTGGTCTGGAAGGACGGGCTGGACCTGCTAACCCGGCCGAATACAGAGGAGAAAGCAAACTCTGAGGTAGATAACTGGTCCGGTAGGTGACCAGCTCAAATCACAGACTTAGAGGAGGAAACTTTAAGAACACTCGCTTCAATCCACGGTTCAGTTTTTGTCTATAATCCAACCATTTCGTTTTAAAGCACAATGTTGTGTTTATTTTAATTGTAGCTTCTTTTTTAAAATTATTATACTGAAACATTTTCTAGTTATTTCTGTAATGAAAGCTCTGCGTGGCACTTCCTGGCACAATAATTCATGTTTATAAAGGTCTAAAATCTAACACGACAACTAAATGTGAAAAAAGGCACAGAGTCCAAACTGCACTCTATTTCATTGAAGCCCAAAAACCCTGGTTAAAGAGACAAATGTTACAGTCTTTGATGAAAGAAGACTAAACTTAAAAGTGCCAAGTTTGTTTCCTAACAGAGTGAAGCCTTTTAAATCTAATTTAATACCCAGATAAAACTGATGTTGATTGCTTTTTTTTTTTTTTTCCCACAATCCTACATCTGTTTTCCTTAGATGTTTACAATCAAATTAAAAAAAATACATACTACCAAATTAACAATTAATATCACCTAAAAAACTAAACAAAACAAAAAATGAAAAAAAAAAGCAAAGTAGATTTGTTCTGTTCAAATTTTTACCCGGACAAGTTTAATTTAAATTACCCTAAAATACAATGATTTTAAAAAAGTGGGAAAATGTGATGGTTCAGGAGAAAGTTGACATCCATACAAATGTAAGGCCTTAAGCTAAAAAAATAAATATTCATTTCAATAATATAATTACATGTAGTCAGTTGATTCAAGCCATTTGTTCAGACATTTATCTACTTCCCCATTTGGGCGTAAGTGGGAAGGGCACTTTATTATTTTGTCATAATTAAAATGTTTTGTGCTGTTCATTTCTCCACATCTACAGCTCCGCTTTACTCTTGGTAGCTGTGTCAAAGCGATGTAGGAAAATTTAATGAGAAGTTATTTCAAAGAAGAAAACACTGAACACTTCAGTTTAGCAATACTCACACAGCAAGCACAAAACATTTTCAAAATGTCTGCCAGAAAAATAGAGAAAAATCAAAAAAGAAAAAGAATTGCAACAAAATACATATTTACAACCTCTGACTTTGCACAAGTGGTCACAAGATTCTCGTGCATATTGTGAGAAACTGCTGTTAAAAAAAGTTGTATATGAAAATAAAACTCTTTTTTTAATAGAATATGAATCATTTGCTGATCTCAGAGAGACTGAAATCATATCAAGAAAAAGAAAATACTCTTATTTAACGAAACACATGAAAAACAGTTTAAGTTCCTTAGCGTCCACTGAATTTATAGATAGTTTTTGTTGTTGTCCAAACACCATCAGACCACTACTTGGTCTGATGGTAGGAATAAGGGGAGTGACTGCCAGATGAGTCCACTTGAGCCTGGACACCATTTTCCTGGAAGAGAGCATGATATCAATCTAAGCCTTGACTTTTTGTCTTAAATAAGAAAATTGCATTAACTCACCTCAGCAGGGGCAGCTGCAGTCTGCATGTGTGCGTACTGCGGGATATATGCTCCTTGCATAGCTGTGTTGGCGGCCATGAACTGCAAGAAAAAAGAAGCAGATGAACATGCAGAATATGTTCTTGGTTTAAATGGACCAAGAGCAATCAGAGAGTCCAAAAGCTATTCTGTAGGGCCTTAAGATTTCTGTAATCTAGAAAACGTGACCAGATTTGTGAAACTGGACGTTTCTTCACAATGTAATTCCATGGAAAATATAATATTATCACAGAATGTGGCCACTTGTGAACAACCCCCAAAAAAAGTAATTCTTGGCAAGGTTTGCTGCCGTATTTTACAGTGCTTACACTTTGCACAAAATAAGTAAGCGCCATACATTACTATTTTTTTTTTTCCTTGTGGTTTTGA